TAGTAAGTAATTTTTGTTTCGGAGAATCTTGCTTATTCCTTTGTGTATATTGAGACCTACTGCTACTGAGACAGCTGCCACACTGGTCGTCTTCTCTTGCATTTGTTGTTGCGTGTGCAATAGAAGAGCCAGATCATCTTCGAAGTCTAGAACGTCCAGCTGCATCCTATCTGTCCACTGTATTCCGTGCTTCCCTTCAGATGTTGCTGTCTTCATGATCCAGTCGGTGGGTGTCCCATGCTTCTCCATGAGGGGTAACAGGCGTAAGTAAGTTGTATTTAATCTTGAAATATTTTCACGTGTACAAACTTTTTTAATGCTTTAAGTATGTTTTGAGGTGTCCTACTATAATAATAATAACGCTAGAATGTATTCTTGATTGATATTCCAAAACATCAAATTGTGACTTGCAATAGAACCTCATGGAAAAATATCATCTCGTGGTCCCCAACCAAGTAGTCTACACCTACCAACATGAATCAGTCCACTTGTCAGTGACTTCATGGACTTGTGCCATGTTTTGGCCTGTTACTCCTTATGTAGAAGCATGGGACACCCACCAGCATTCTCCATCCAACTCTGTCCTGGGCAATCCTTTCCAGTTGATATTCATCCTTTTCATGTCTGCTTTCGATTCCCGACGCAGTGTGTTCTTCGGCCTTTCTCTTTTCCGGTTCCCTTCAGGATTCCTAGTTAGGGCTTGCCTCGTGATGCAGTTTGATGATTTCTGTAACGTAGTTCTGCTTGTCTGCCATAATGCACTTCTCCACTTGCTTGTTTGCTTCTATGTACTCAGCTTGTGCTTGGACTCTCTCTGCTCGTGTTCGGCTGTTGTTAATTGCTGTCTTCTTGTTCTTCCTTTCCTAGATCATGTCCAGTGTTTCCATAGAGATCCATTCCTTATGATGGTGCTTATTTAGGCCCAGAACCTGCCGACACGTTGAAGTCAATGCTTCTTTGATCCATTTCCAGTTGTCGTCCATAGTAGTTTCTTCTTCGTCAGTAGATCCTGTAAGGCTTGGAACCTGTTGTTGAGAGTTATCTTGAATTCATTGAGCTTGTCAGTATCTCGAAGGGAGGCTGTATTGAACCTTTGTGGTGCTGTTTGTCCAGTTGTCCAGTTCTTCTTTAGCTTCAGTGTTAAATTGGCCACAACTAGGTGGTGATTTGAAGCTATGTCAGCTCCTCTCCTGGTTATCACGTCTTCTATTGTCTTTCTGAATTTTTATTGATGCGAATATGATCTATCTGGTTCCCTGTAGTGTGGTCCGGTGAGACCCTTGTAGCTTTGTGTATATGTTTGTGTGGAAATATTGTGCCACTAATAACCAGTTTGTTGAATGCACATCGATTTTCAAATCCCTCGTCATTCTCGTTTCTCTCTCCCAGTCCATGTCGTCCCATGATATTCTCATATGAGGTGTTGTACATTCTGACTTTGGCATTTAGATCTCCCATCAGAATGGTGAAGTCGTTTCTTGGGCACTTCTTTATGATTGAATGCAGCCGCTCGTAGAATTGGTCTTTAATGTCGTCGTTGCTATCATTGGTGGGTGCATAACATTGGATAATATTCATCGTGATTCCCTCCTTCTTTGTTTCGAATGATGCTTTGATGATTCTGGATGTGTGAGATTCCCATCCTACAAGTGTATTTCGTGCTACTTTGAACAGTATTAGAACAACTCCCTGAGTGTGTGGAGCATTTTCCTCTTCGTGACCGGAGTAAAGCAGTATCTCTCCGGTATTTAGCCTTTGTTATCCAGCTTGAGTCCAATGGGTTTCGCTGATTCCGAGTACTGTCAAGTTATATCTCGTCATTTCCGTTGCTATTTGACTGGTCTTCCCGGTCTCCCACATTGTTCGGACGTTCTATTTACCCAGAAAAATTGTTTCTCTGGTTGTTAGAAGGCTCATCAACCCACGTGACTTCCGAAGGAACTCGGCTTTCACCATGAAGTGTCATAATTCTTCTTTCAACTCGAAAGGCAAAGTTTAAATGATTTGAATTGTTTGTTCTGTTTGGCGTTTTTATACAAGATATTTTCCACGGGATGGGGCTGCCGACACCATGCCCAACACTCCTCCTTTACCCGGGCTTGGGACCGGCGGTAACTCGAGAAGAGCTACAGGCGGAGTTCGGAAATACAATGGTTGTCATAAAGGAAATGGACAATCCAGTTCATTGACACTTTTGTGACTGGGTGTTTGACTGTGTTATATCCATTACACGTCGCCACTGCTGTATTGGGATCGCTGGCTGTTATATATGTGGAGTCGTCAGTTTTATGTACGTATCGATTTGGCTGTGTCTGCAGTTCTACTAATGTTACTTGACAATAAGGCACTACTGCGATTAATCTGTCCTACTGGTTCCTTTGGAAACGTGAACCACTACAGTTCCCACAACACGGATGATAACATGAAAGACCAGTGCAATCAAGGTTTTTTGACTCCCCAAAGCCATGTCCAAAATCACGTCGTCGTTAGATCGAGATACAATCATTTATGTACTGAACTTTACACACACTTTATAATAGAACATAAGGTTACTGTAAAAATGCACTCTGAATGCTGTTCTCATGAAGTGGTTCAGGGAATATAATTCTCATACTGACCGAAAGTTATATTAAATTTATAATAAACGAAGTTTATACTGAACTGATACAAAATATTGACCTTAAAAGGTTTCACTAAACAAATTTCACACCTGTTACGTTGGTTGAAATTCAGAATAAATTGATGCGTCATATCAACTGAATAGAATTCTTCACAAAGGCATCGACACCTTTCGTTTGTATTCTTCCTTTATTTTTAATCAAAGGTGTTTGCAACATCTCAAATATCCAGTTATCGTCATCACGTTATTACTATTATTATTGTTGATACTATTGTCTTCTTGTGGCGAATTGCACTTTGGTTGTAATAACGAAAATATCTCTTGTCTTCAATCTTTTCGACTACAGGTTATTTAATTATGAAATTCCATTTCAGTCTTCTACGAATCAATAGCTGTTCTACGAAAGAAGTTGTATTGTTGACACGATCATTGATATCTTTTCATAATCTAAACTCTAATTGATCAATTTGTCAACTTAGGTTTTGAAATTAAAATATTCCGCCTGAAATGACCAATATTAATTTTTAAAAATTATTTTGTATGGCATATTGCCAAGTCGAATTTTTCTTTAAAACAATCACTCAGTATATGTATGTCTATGAACGATAGAGGTAACATCAAGATATGAAGATTAGGCTATTAATTATTGACCGCCTAACTTGACATACCAACAATCTACAAAGCATCCAGTTTTTCATGGATATCTAATCTTTTAAAAAAAATTATCTGTTTGATTTATTTACTTTTACTGCTATTGAAGTTTTAATCGGCATTCTGTTTAAACATTTTAATGATTATTAGTTTCTAGTAAGTAAGTATTTTTGTAGTAAATATTTTAATGCTTTAATGTATGTTTCCCTTTATTTAGATTTTGTAAAAAGATTATTCATGTAGATTGTATCATTTGTTGATTGGGTATGATACAGCATTTACTTGTTTGAATGGCTTACTGTAGACAAACGATTAAAATGAAAATACTTATAAAATACAGTGTAATTCGAATATTGATTCTGACTAGAACGGTTGAAGAGTTTAAAAACATTTGTCATCTGGTTTGTCTGAGTAGTTGTATTTTTGCTGATTATTGGAATAATGGTTATTGATGAAGCTCTGAATAGGGGTATAAAAGATTCAGCTGAGATTAATGGGCTGAGATTGTCTATGAAATATGCTTGCTTCATTAAGAGTTAAGACTACGTTTGACTATAAATGTTTATAAAACACGGGTGTTAATAAAAGTAACGTTTGGCTATCATCAACTTTGGAATAGCATTGATATATACTATAATCACTGTGTGTGAATTGTTTTAGTCAAAAATAAAATCTTAAGTAGGGGTACCAAACTATTCAGTAAGGTTCTGATTGTATATTAAATGTGATGATTAAAATAATTTAGTCTCTGTTAGTTTTTTTCTGCACGCCCCTACTCAACAGTAGAATGAATGAATCTCGTTAAATATCGAACAGTGAAGCAATACTAATCCGTGAATCACTATGTTGTTCTGAGTTGCATTGTTCAACTCTGTTTGTTCATTTTAAACTAGCTCATACATACCTGACCAAGAAGACTGATTAGGCAGTGATTTTTATATTTCTGGAATTATACCATGTAGGTTTTTATTAAATTACTACTTCGAGTTCATGTAAGACATACGACTTGTTTTTTCATCTCAGATTTCTGTTTCCTGCTAAATTAAGGTTTTCAACCAATTACTTCATACTTGGATGGTTTGTGAATGTTAAGTGTGAAAATAATTTCCATCACAAACTGAGACCAGTTGGTAGTGAATCGTTGAAAAAACAGGTGTTATAAAATGATGGTTTTGTCCTAGTTTCCGGTTCCCCAACAGCTTACATGTAGAAATCAGGATTTCTAAATTCCACAACTATTACGTTATAACTGTCCAATGGTTTCTAGCTTACATCCACTTAATTTTCAACCATTCAGTTTATGGTTATCGTGTTTGCACAATAAATTAATAGTAGTTTGATGGAATACTTGGGCGATATTAAATCCTAGGTTTTCATTTCCGAAATTCATTATTTTAGTTCGTTATATGCTTTCATCTAAAACTTCTTTTGAATTTTCTACTGGCATCCATTTTATAAAAAACATTGATGTAAACAATATTTTGTTATTCCTCATTCAATACTTTTTTATAGGATATTGCTAGAAATAATGGCGAACTACAGATTTAATTTCCCACTGCGCAATCACTCAATACCATATTTGATAGTCAAATGATATATTTTATATTGTTTAAACTAACCATTCAGTGACTAATTCATTAATATAGATATCTCTTCAAATATAAGAATGTTTGCATTTATTGTAAATTGATATAGCAAAAATTCATTTTGATGTTCTTTTATTCTATAGGTTGTAAATTTATTTCGTACACGAAGTTTCGAAACTACTGAAACTTTATCAAGTCGGTTGTCTACCATTCGAGCATCACCTAATCGTACAGCAATTAAAAGTTATCGTACAAATTTACTAGCTTATTTAATTTGGCTAATGGCCAAATCAAATTCAATTAATAATGGTAAACGTCGTTTATCTGTTATTAGTATGGACACTCGTTCTTATTTAACTGGAATTCAACTGGGACCTGATTTATTGATAGAATTAACGAAACAACTACGATCTGGTTCAGCTTTACCAAATGATGTGCGAACAGGATTATGTCGTTTGTGCAGCTTAGTATCGTATTATGTTGCTTTATTTTTAATTCAATTAAATCAATGTGAATCAGATAAAGATCCTTTGAATTTGATTTCGCATAGTACCGGATCTTTGTTTTCTAATTGTCTTACTGTTTTAATTGATATAATTCGTGAGTCACCTTCACGTTGTGGTTTACGTTTACGACAGGCCGCTGTTATTGCACTAGGTGAAGTTTTGAGTTGTTCCACTTGTTTATTATTATATGCTTATCGGAAATCCAATACAATATCTATAGACACTCAATCTATTCAGTGGCAAACCGCTGTTCATCATTTAATACGTCTTGTAACAACAACTTCTACCATAAGTACTAGCAATTTAGGATCTAATTCTGCTAATAATGAACCTACTTCAATTTTGGACGCATTTGACGGTACAGCTGTACGGAATTTGGAGCCTGCTCTTGGTAGCCGTAATTCCTTTGGAAGTGAGGAGAATTCACATACAACAGGGGCAGTTACTACAAAAATTACAGAATCACATATTCGTTTAAGTGCTTCAAAATCTTTAGATGCATTTGTAACTGCAATACATGGTTGTCAACTTTATGATATATCTGTAATAGGTTCACTCAGTGAATCTATAACATCTTGTTTACATTCTGTTACAACTGGAGATATTATTAGTCGCTTATGGTCACAGGGTATTGTTGATTCCAGTACTAATCGAACTGGTGTTAATCCTATTCAGCAAGAACTGACCTTATCATGTGCAAGTACTTTAGCAGGAATTATACGTCTGAATCCCAATCTATTTACTACTGGATTAATAGACAGAGTTGGTTCATCAGCATTTATTGGGTTGCTTGAGCCTCCAGCGTCCGGATTAGCTTGTCAACAAACAGATTTGGTTGTAAGTTACTGTTTGTGTGTTTACTTTTTTGTAATGATTATTCACATGTCATTGTTTATTGCCATAATATTATCTAGGAATATATTCTTTTTTATTCAAAACCACCGTATACATATTTGCATATAATATTATCACTTTGTTTAAATCAAGAGGATTCAGTGAAGAAAATTTTTGACGAAATCATTTACTCAAGCTGTACATTAGCATTTATAATTGTTTGGTAAATACGGACTTCTAAAAGTTCATAAGAAAGATGTCCCCCTACATCCTGTACTTGATACGAATGCCTCTCCGTATCATTTGATTGTTAAATGGTTAGCTGAAATTCTAAAACGCGTACAAAGTCGCATCGATAGATACAAATCCTGTGATTCTTTAAGTTTGTTGATTTAATTAGAATCATCAATGTAAACGTAAGTATCAATACCAAGGTTGGACTTGATAGCTTCAAACATATTGAGGATTGGTTAGAAAGTTATTGACAGATAATTCCCATTTAAACATTAAAATTAAAACACGAAAGTTATTGATGGATATATTTTTTATCATATCCAGTAAGCAGAAAAATCGTATTTCTGACGTTTCGTCACTTGAAGTAAGCCACTTCTGTAAAATAAATAACCAAAATAAATTAACACAAGTTCAAAGAATACTACTATAACAAAAAATATATTCGTTATCAATGTAAATGGTAGAAAAACGATCTCCTTGGGTGTCTCTTCTCGCTTTACAAATGTTTCTGACACGTTCAAAGGATTAAGCTATCACCTAGGACCGGCGAACGGAACCAAAGTCAGCAACACAACAACAGGGCAAGCTAAGCTATTCCATTGTGCCCAGCCTCGCTGACTAGAGGAAAAAGACCAGATTCAGCCGAGAAAATATATAATTCCGCAAACAACCGGGAATAGCGAACAACAAGCACACAACTCGTGCATATATATATATATATATATATATATATATATATATATATATACAAAAATATCCTCTAAAATGTAACAAAATAGAGTACTTAGAGAGAAAAGTTTTCAATGATGTTTAAGATTCTTCCAGGTGTGAAGCATAAAATGGAGATAAATGGGCGCTTTTAGAGCAAAGATGAGAAATGCGAATTTTCATAATTAGATTACAAAAATAAGGGTACCAAGTGATTTCTGGGGATATAGCATCCACAGCACCTCCCCTTTTCAGTAGACTATGTTTTTGGGTTTCACTTGCATCTTGACCTTTTTTCGCTGTTGTTGATATAACCATTTTCTGTAATGTAGATCGATTTGTGTTTGGACTTCTTCTTTTGTTGGTATCGGGGGAGATTTCCGTTTGTTGACGGATGATCTGTGTCTTACTGTTTCTGTAACTGGTTCCAGTAACGAGTTCACCTGTTTCTTCCCATTTCGACTTAATACACGACTTGGCCTAGCCTTCTGACCACATGTGCTTCAGTCCAGGAATCATGGTTTGGTCTGTAATTCCGATCGAACATCTGACACCCAACCTCGTACGTTGGTAGCTCCTGGGACTTAGCCTGTGATTGTGACGTGGTTCCCGATAGCATCAGGTTGTGGATCCTCTTCAGTCTTTTTCCAAATTGGTTGTCTTCTGGGGACGTCTGCTCTGGTAACGTGTCGTTTGGTGTCGTTCGATAAACAAATAAGAAGTTCTGTAGTAATTTGTTTGGTATCCCCTCCCCGTTTAGCTTAAATAGATCCCTCCTAAACGTGTCCGTAAACCTTTCTGCTTGGTCATTCGACTGTGGATGGTAAAGGGGAAAGCGGAAATGTTTGATGGCTAGCCGTCGCAGAATTGTTGGGACCAGCAGGAAGTGAACTGCGAACAATTATCTAATATAATTACTTTAGTCGATCCGTTCCAGGAGCAGATCTCCGTCAAGAGCTGTAACATATTGGTCAACGTTGATAGCACGATGGGGGAATTTCCGGTCATTCCGAAAACACACAACTACAAATAGGTAGTTTTTTTATTGGACCGGCGAAATCGACATACATCCTGGTCAGAGATACTAACATTTGCTTGGTTTTCTGTTGAAAGAGAGGCGGTAACCATGTCTTTCTATGCCATAGGGTGTTCATTGATAAGTTGTGACAAAGCATCTGCCTACATAAGGCGGGATGCATGCATACTTGCTTCTTCCGTCGCACCATAAACTTAATGTGAGATGACGGCACCGAGTTCCAAAGCTGAAGTGTCCCCAGCCACGTATAGTAATGTGTCATTAATAATTTAGAGCCAATAATCGTCTTAAGTTTGCAGAAAACTACTTCATATACTTATGTCCAATTCCAGATGGTGTTCTTATTCGGCAGTATATTCAGTGATGCCCGGATGTCATGCATCGACGGTACAAAAGCCGGTTAATAGCTAACTAACCCCAAAAAAGATCGTAGGGCAGAGGCATTGATGGGTTCGGGCATCAATTGTATAGCTCGGATGATTTCGGGATATGATCGATGGCCTGCTGTGTCAAAGATAAATCCCAAGTACTTTGCCAACTTTTAGAAAAGTCGGCGCATTTATGGACGTAGCTGGAAACCATTGGCTCTGGTACGTTGTAGCACAGCCGTCGTGCATTCTCGTTGCTCATTTAACGAAGTGGTAACAATTAAGCTATCTTCAAGGTGTAAGTTGCGACCTCTGAAATACACGTTAGGATGGTATCCACTAGTTGCTGGAAAATAGATGGGGCGGTCTTTACTCCTAAGGTAGATGATTTTACTGAAATAAACCACAATATGTATTAATAGTCAGTAGCTCTCTCAATTTTTTCAACCACTTCCACTTGTAAATAAGTATCAGAAAGGTCTTACTCTGTGTAGAACTTCCCATCACTTAGCATAATGAGTAAAAATCTGCGGTAACTGGTAGTGTTCAAGGGCTGCATTAGAGTCTGTAGTTACGTCTGCTCATATGCGTGTTATTCCATTTCCGTTATTGATAACCAAAATTGGTGCTACCCAACTTACTTACTACTTATGCCTGTTACTCCTCGCAAAGGAGCATAAGCCGCTCACCAGCATTCTCCATCCAACTCTGTCCTGGGCAATCCTTTCCAGTTGATATTCATCCTTTTCATGTCTGCTTTCGATTCCCGACGCAGTGTGTTCTTCGGCCTTTCTTTTTTCCGGTTCCCTTCAGGATTCCTAGTTAGGGCTTGCCTCGTGATGCAGTTTGATGATTTCTGTAACGTATGTCCCATCCACTTCTAACGTCTTTTCCTGATTTCCTCTTCAGCTGGACCCTGGTTTGTCCTCTCCCACAGAAAGCTGATGCTGATGGTATTCGGCCAATGGATGTTGAGTGTCTTGCGTAGACAACTGTTTGTAAATACTTGTATCTTCTTGATTGTGGTTGTTGTAGTTCTCCAAGTTTCAGCTCCATACAGTAGAACTGCCTTGACGTTCGTATTGAAGATTCTCACTTTGATATTGGTTGAAAGTTGTTTTGAGTTCCATATGTTCTTCAATTGTAGGAATGTGGCCCTTGCTTTGCCGATCCTCGCCTTTACGTCTGCATCTGAACCTCCTTGTTCATCGATGATGCTTCCCAGGTATGTGAAGGATTCTACATCTTCCAGAGTTTCTCCATCAAGAGTGATTGGATTGCTGTTCTCCGTGTTGTATTTGAGGACCTTGGTTTTCCCCTTGTGTGTGTTGAGGCCTACTGATGCAGAGACCGCTGCTACACTGACTGTCTTTATCTGCATTTGTTCATGTGTATGCGATAGGAGGGTCAGGTCATCTGCGAAGTCCGAATCGTCTAGTTGATTCCGAGCTGTCCATTGTATTCCGTTCATTCCCACAGATTTGGAGGTCTTCATAATCCAGTCAACCACCAGAAGAAAGAGGAAGGGAGAGAGTAGACAGCCTGACTGACTCCGGTCCTTACTTGGAATGCATCTGCCAGCTGTCCTTTATGCAATACTTTGCACTGCAGTCCGTCGTATGAGTTCCGGATAATGTTGACGATCTTCTCAGGAACTCCAGTGTCGAGGGGGTTTCCGTAGCGTCTTTCTATCTACACTGTCAAATGTCTTTTCATAATCAATGAAGTTGATGTACAGTGATGACTTTAACTCAACTGATGGTTCGACGATCACCCGTAGTGTCGCAATTTGGTCTGTGTACGACCGGTCCTTACGGAATCCAGCTTGTTCATCTCGAAGTTGGGCGTCTACTGCATCTTTCATCCGGTTCAGCAACACTTTGTTAAAGAATTTCCCTGGTATTGACAGTAGTGTAATGCCTCTGTAGTTTTCACATTTGCTCAGATTTCCTTTCTTTGGAATCTTGATGAGGTGTCTTTCTTTCCAGTCCATCGGCATTTGTTCCTCCTCCCAAATCTTTTTGAATAGAAGGTGAAGCATGTTTGTAGTTACTTCGATGTCTAACTTCAGTGCTTCAGCTGGTATGTTGTCAGGTCCTGCTGCTTTCCCTCTCTTGATTTGTCTGATGGCCATTCTGATTTCTTCCGTCGTTGGTGGATTGATATCTTTAGGAATGTGTGTGTGTGCTGCTTCGATATCCGGTAGATTCGTTGGAGCCGGCCTATTCAGGAGTTCTTCGAAGTATTCTACCCATCTGTCTCCCTTTCCTTGAATTTCAGTGATGGGCTTGCGTTTTTTATCTTTGACCGGTCTCTCTGGTTCACTATATTTTCCTGCCAGTTTCATATTTCCTTCTGTTGCGTCTTTTTTCGCTGTCGTTGTTAGCTCTTCCACGTAGTTCTGCTTGTCTGCCATAATGCACTTCTCCACTTGCTTGTTTGCTTCTATGTACTCAGCTTGTGCTTGGACTCTCTCTGCTCGTGTTCGGCTGTTGTTAATTGCTGTCTTCTTGTTCTTCCTTTCCTAGATCATGTCCAGTGTTTCCATAGAGATCCATTCCTTATGATGGTGCTTATTTAGGCCCAGAACCTGCCGACACGTTGAAGTCAATGCTTCTTTGATCCATTTCCAGTTGTCGTCCATAGTAGTTTCTTCTTCGTCAGTAGATCCTGTAAGGCTTGGAACCTGTTGTTGAGAGTTATCTTGAATTCATTGAGCTTGTCAGTATCTCGAAGGGAGGCTGTATTGAACCTTTGTGGTGCTGTTTGTCCAGTTGTCCAGTTCTTCTTTAGCTTCAGTGTTAAATTGGCCACAACTAGGTGGTGATTTGAAGCTATGTCAGCTCCTCTCCTGGTTATCACGTCTTCTATTGTCTTTCTGAATTTTTATTGATGCGAATATGATCTATCTGGTTCCCTGTAGTGTGGTCCGGTGAGACCCTTGTAGCTTTGTGTATATGTTTGTGTGGAAATATTGTGCCACTAATAACCAGTTTGTTGAATGCACATCGATTTTCAAATCCCTCGTCATTCTCGTTTCTCTCTCCCAGTCCATGTCGTCCCATGATATTCTCATATGAGGTGTTGTACATTCTGACTTTGGCATTTAGATCTCCCATCAGAATGGTGAAGTCGTTTCTTGGGCACTTCTTTATGATTGAATGCAGCCGCTCGTAGAATTGGTCTTTAATGTCGTCGTTGCTATCATTGGTGGGTGCATAACATTGGATAATATTCATCGTGATTCCCTCCTTCTTTGTTTCGAATGATGCTTTGATGATTCTGGATGTGTGAGATTCCCATCCTACAAGTGTATTTCGTGCTACTTTGAACAGTATTAGAACAACTCCCTGAGTGTGTGGAGCATTTTCCTCTTCGTGACCGGAGTAAAGCAGTATCTCTCCGGTATTTAGCCTTTGTTATCCAGCTTGAGTCCAATGGGTTTCGCTGATTCCGAGTACTGTCAAGTTATATCTCGTCATTTCCGTTGCTATTTGACTGGTCTTCCCGGTCTCCCACATTGTTCGGACGTTCTATTTACCCAGAAAAATTGTTTCTCTGGTTGTTAGAAGGCTCATCAACCCACGTGACTTCCGAAGGAACTCGGCTTTCACCATGAAGCGTCATAATTCTTCTAAATGAAGACCTTCTAACTCTCAGGGCAGAATTAAAATGGCACGAATTATTTTTTCTGGTAAGCGTTTTTTTAGCGAGTTAGTTTTTTACGGGATGGGGACGCTAACCCCATGCCCAACACTCCTCCTTTACCCGGGCTTGGGACCGGCAGTAACTCTAGAAGAGCTACAGGCAGAGTGAGTATCATCTAGCGTCATAATTCTTCCTTCAACTCGAAAGGGAAAGTTTAAATGATTTGAATTGTTTGTTATGGTTGGCGTTTTTATACAAGATATTTTCCACGGGATGGGGCTGCCGACACCATGCCTAACCTCCGTCCTTTACCTGGTCTTGAGACCGGTGGTAACTCTAGGAGAGGTTCAGGATGAGTTTTATCTATATACGAAACAACTGACAATGGGAATATTTAGCTCGCGGAAGTGATTTCATAGGAGATAAGATTTCCTTCTCTCGATTTTCTTTATTTTTATTTAATTACTCTATGATTTGCTTTGATTTTGTACATGCTATTATTTGAAAAGTTGAATGGTACTGGATATATATATATATATATATATATATATATATATATATATAGTTATGATGTCAAAACATTTAACACAAATTAATTATGATTAAAATTCATTTAAAAGTTAAATGGTTGTACATTCCAGGTTTAATAGGCTGTCAAATAACAAACAGAGTTGAAACTAAACTATCAGGTTCATTTATTGCTATTAAAGTGAGTATTGAACAGTGGATGACTTGACGAACATCCTCACTACTTTAGCTGGTCGTATTGACTTGTGGATTCTGTTTTAATATAAAAATGAAGCCACTTGGGTTAATGAAATCAAATACATACATAAAACGAATTGAAATGAATTAATATTTTTTTACAGTTGAAATCACCAGTTGATCTAAGATAGATTACCATTTAAAACCTAGTAGGGTAAGGAAATCTTAACTTCAGAAAACTGTGCACCTACAATTAATTGGTTGTCTGACCCATACTTAATCATCCCCTCACTTAGGTTAGGATTATTTTACTATAGACTGATTGATACTAGGATACAATATAGTATCGATCTATGTAGCTAATATTTGTCTGAGCTATATGGTGAACAATATGTCTCTCAAAGGATAAAAGGTTGCTCAAGATCATGGATTTATTGAAGTTAGACAATAACACCGTTGGAAACCAGTTTAGTGGTTAAACATGCACGAAGTCGAAGGTTCTGGGTTCAAGTCCCTTTTACAGAATTGTGGATGAGCACTGCTAAGTAGTCCCATACTGGGACGAAACAGCCGTCCAGTGTTTCCAGGTTTTCGATGGTTTTCTAGCGTAGATAGACTCGCGATTTCAAGTGAGAAAATACACAATCTTTAAGAATCCCTCACATTGATACATTTTTTATCGAGACAACATTAGTTTATCATAATTAAGTGAAAACGTTTGCTTTCTTGAGAATTCAGCCAATGATTTTGTGATAATACATTGTGAGGTTTTCATCATTCGCTATCGAAAATGTGTATTCGTTGCACTCAATTCTTATTTTTTTCAATTCATTTTCATAGACATGTTTTTTTAGTCGACATTCATCTATGATTAAAATACTGTAGAGAATAGAAAGCTTGCACACTGAGACCTTTTACATTCACTAATGTAATCGTTTCCTATACTCGATATTCTTTTTTAAACAAAACAATAACTATACTATAGTGATTTATACTTACGATTATTGTATAGTGAATATTTCATTGTTGTATTTCTTTTTGTCTATTCTGACAGTTTTATAATCAAAAATCGACAGACTGTAAAAGCGGTGAAATTAATTAAAGACTAGGTGATAAACGTTGAAGCTTAAATCTAATCCGGTTATTCTGCATTGCTATTAGTCTATATTGTAGCACTCGAAAGACCTCTACTGTTTTTCTATTTTAAAAAAACCCAGAAGTATGGAACGTTTATTCTATTTTTGTTTTTGTTTTGAACGTCTCAGTAGTGCTTATGCACGACCTTGCCAAAAGTTGAATATAGAACCTTTAGTTCATATAACTAGCATTCTATTCTAGGATCATTAAATTCTAATTCAGTGGTCCGCATTTCTAAATTTTGCCCGTTCACCATATGGCTCAACTATCATTCTATGATTACAATTCACGCAACAGAACAAATCATAACCAACTTTACTTCCTTCGACATTTTTAAAAAATAAATTTAACAATGGAGCTTACAACTGTTTAAAGAAATTATGTCCTTCACCCTTGAATAGCTAATTAATTTTTCATGATATTTCTAGAGTTACATTGTTCCATAAAACTCTTGATTAAACTTTTTCACTTTTTTTCAATAAAACTTTTCAGGCTCGATTGTTATCAACTGCCGCTGCTGGTTTGTTAACACCTTTATTTATGAAACGTTCAAGTGTAACACTTCCTAAAGTTAAACGAGCACAGTCTGCATCATCTAAACTATCACGTACATCTGTAAGTAATGCTGGAGGTGCTGGAACACCAGCTGCATGCAAAAGATTACTATCTGAACAAAAATTTATAAATACTATTTTTCGTTATTTAGAAAGCCCACATGCTATGATACGTGCTAAAGCTTTTCTGATTAGTTCTGCTATAATAGCTAATTCACCACAAGATACTCTATCAGTTGCATGCCATTATCGTTTGCCAACTTTGCTTGAACGTAATTTAAAAGCAACTAGAACATTACATCATAGGTATAATGATGCATTCGATTACAGTTTAACGAAATCTTCGAATATTTCATCATCATCTGGTCAAAATACTGAATCACCTTGTACAGTATATTTGGCTGCATGTGTGACTCATATGGCTGATATTTTAGTCTGTGATATTATTCCAACCATATGTTACCAAATTTTATCAGCCGTTGGGTTAATACCAATACATAAAAATTCCAGTTCTACAAACCAATTTGTCAGACAAACATCAACTTCATCATCGAATCGAAAAACCAGTCTTACAAAATCCTCAACTGCATACACTCGTCAAACATTATCAAATGCAAATAATAATGGCTCTTCTACGTTGAACAGTAACACGTCATCGAATCAAATTAATACACGTACATTACTAACAGCTTTTGGTTGTCTTCCTCTGATTTTAAGCGGATGTGGTCCTATACGCCTGAAACTATTCTATCCACATGATTTAAAATCATCCGGTCAATTAAATAATAAAGAATGTCATAGTACTACTAATTTTAGTGCCTCAGGTGCTGTCACCTCCTCTTCCTCTTCCTCTGGTGGTATTCCTACTTCAACAACCGTCTCAGGATTTTGTGTACTATCATTCGCTAGCCGTCTGCTAGAACATTGGACATCAGCAGATCCTGTCAGTGTAGCTGGTAAGTGTATAAAAAATAGATGGAATACCTAATTTGTTTTCAGTTTAGTATTAACATTTTCACTGAAGTATGTTTTTAAGTATTATATCATTTCCTATGAGAATCTGTGACCTGTAGGGTCACCCAAACAGTGAGGGAAACTAACTGACTAGTGATCGTGCTATACCCCGAGTTTTTTTAAGTTGGAAATATGGTCCCACCCACAGGTCTCTGGTATGGAGATCTGAATATTCTGGATTCAGGTCATATGGACGTTACAGGCAAATGCTGCTGAGAATCTCCAAATTAAAACACAGTGATTGGTCTTCGCTCTATGTCGCTCAATGATTCTCTCATGCATGTTGATGTGTGATAAAGGCTATCCGCAGAAGGAGTTGATCATGTGCACAAACCACTTTTCTGAATAGTTTGCTAACCTTAAAAACAGTATGTTATAATTCAGCTTTTATAAAGTTTAGTAAATCTACTCATCTGTAAGAAGCTATCTGTTTAGTGAACACAAATTAGCCGATCTATCTTGTCTTAGTGCAAAACTCTTTACTGATATGATCGGTAAGATTTAGGTCTAACAGTCAGGTCTTGATTCATTGGCGATTGAGTGACCTACAAACTGATATTTGCTAATCGTCAATGTCATATAATTATGTTAATTTTTCTGTTTGTATTTTTGGCATAAATATATTATTTTATTATGGAAAAAATCTGTTTTCCTGGGAAGTTGTCTTCTTTTCTGATATCTGTTCAACTGGAGGTTTTCATCAGTAATTCGGTCTTATGAACGTTTATCACTCAGCAGTTCTGTATTATTGCATATTATTCACTGTTCAGCATAATATTCTCTATTTCAACAGTCAAAAACTGATTTGAATATTTAAAAGCTTAATATATAATAGCTTGTAGTGGCTGTGCTTCGTTACCCAATTACCCTCGTAACCGTTATCATATAATCATAAACTGTGTTTGAAATAAGAAGGCAAAGAGAAGCAGCGACTACAGTTTTATCAGCAGATAACCCAGACCGCAAAGCAGAGAGGTGAGTGAGTCAGCGAACCCAGTGTGTAGATTGTGTAGGTTTAAGTTTGAAGCTTTACTGATTATCTTCATTTCATAACTAGTATTTCGTTCACAAGTGGTAGAAGAAAGGCTTTCATCTGTCTTAACTGTAAATCTATACTTAGTTTCGACTCATCGAATTGTAATGTTTGTATCTTACACTGAAACAGTAATATATGTAAAAGATTCTAAAATTTTTGGTGGATGTTTATTTCTAGAACTTTTTTTCCTCTGTACTGTAATTAATATCCTAGTATAGAGTATTGAAGAAACTATATTGTAATGATTTCCTCTGCTCGCTTCTAAATACTAGCAGTTTTTCCATTGAGAATAGAGCCACATATGTATTACTTTTATGTCTACTTTTAAAAGTATTCTAATGTCCTCAAATTATCTGTGCTTCATTAAATATATGTTAACAATCAGCTGATAATAATTATATAACTAACTTAGTATATCAATCGACGACAGTATAGATATCACTGTGTCTATCTGTTGTAGTGATAATATAACTTGTTGTAATTTGATATATTTCGCTCATTTCGGCGTAACTAACTGATAACATTGTTTGATATAATAAATACTCTTGAGTAAGTGAATTTCCCTTTCACCATTCATAATTGTCTCTTCGAAAAGAGTAATAATAATAATAATAATTTTTTTATATTCTGAAAAATCATATAATGTTATCATCCATAAACATACAAATGGATGCAATTCTGAAACTAACCTCAAACTGATTTAAACGTTTAACAAAGATGTGTATCTATCAGAATTACTTAGAAAATATATAATATCTGATCATATTTGAAGACAGGTAGATGTTTTAACATCGTAAAAAAGAAAAGTTGTTTCCTTCATAGGATTTTAAACCATTAAACTAAATGATCATAGTGATAAAAACACAGTAGTGGTAAAAGTGTGAAGATTAAAAATAGTAATAATAAGGGCAAGTCATAAATGAACTAAGTAATATTTAAAGCAGTTTACAGACTATGTATATTAGTTCAAAGAATAAACGTCGATAGTACCAACTAAAAATGATTAGAACGTAGTTGACGGTATCTGAATAAATAACTGATGAATACGATGAAGTATATAAAATGTAAAAGATTTTATGCCCAAGGCAAATGTATTAGAGAAAAAGATTTATATTTCTCTACTATTCCAGGCTTTATCCGATGTAATGGAACGATGACTCATTAGTGTAAACATTTCGACTTAAACTTTAGAGTAGTATGTTTAATTCGTGTTTCATTTATTTTGTCACTTGTTTGGCTGGATGACAACACTAAGCATCATACCATAAGTATGAGTTAGTATTGATAAAACTTATTAACTAGGTATAACTTACAATTCTCCGCTTTGAACTACACGCCTTCAACAAGGTGTAATGTCTATTCTGAACGTCTATTACCAACTACATGCTGGGAATAAATCCCGCAGTAAATGCAGAAATATTATAGGTGAACATCGTATTCACTAATTGTTTGAATTTATTATGATTGTGTTGACGTGATATACAATCATATATCTTGTAATATATTCAACTATACTGATTGGTCTAAAGATGACTATTTATGACATCCAGGAGACTATATTTTATGAACAAATCAATGAAATTAGGGATACCAAGTCTTGAATTGCGGCGCGAAATTTATTCATCCATATAGTTAAATAGCATTATAGCTGATATTAGCTGTGCTGACAACCTTTAATTCCTAATCCTAAATTCTAACATTAAATCCTAACCTTAATTCCTCATACTAATTTAATACTTTCTTTTGACCTTAGTAAAATAGATAAGCTGTCTCAAGGTTACTCAACGGTCTTCCATAGATTATAATCCCATTATGACATTTCAGCAAGTAAACAATAAACAGTTTACATAAATTTTAAACACTTCATGGAAGAGAGCTTGAAGTGTCAGCTAATATCTCTTCCATCACACTGATTTAGGTTATAATATTTACATTTCACATTATTAAGTATATCCTTCTGTTATATAATAACAACGATATCTACAATCGAAGTTTAATATGTTGTGATTATGTAAGAAGTGTCGTTTCAACACTGATACTTAAAAGTGATATCTGCAATATGTATAACCTAATCATTTCACGTGATCCTTCTCTCTGTTTACCAATATTTCCACTACTGACAAACGACTGATAAATAATTGATTAGTTTAAGAATTAGGTGTTTCTGTTGTCTTTGTTACGATAGTTTCACTTCAGTTATCGATCTGTGCTCTTCTAATTTTTATTCGTTGATTTCTTAGTTAAATCTATTCATCAATCAGTATAATATAAATGTATATAATAAACATTATTGTAACAATATACTACCGGCTCATAAACTATTGAGTATGTGTCGAGGTTTGATGTACACGTATATGAGTGGGTGGTCTGTTTCTCTCTCTCTCTCTCTCTGTGTGTGTGTGTGTTAATATCGACCATTATGTCTGTACATCTAAATATACACGCATAAAGAAAAAACCGACTTTTTTTCTGAAAAAAATTATTTGTTACTGATAGTGGATTACCTTTTGTGAAAACATTTCTATTTTGTCCGTTCTTTTTACTTTTTCTTACCATAAATCATTACTCTGGATAACTGATAAAGTTATTTTCCAGTCTTCAAGATTAAAATATACTGACATGTTGTATTATTTAGTACGATATAATTATGAATGACTTAAAGATTAGTTTGACAAATTTCAGTGTGAAGTCGAATCTGGGAGAGTTCAACCATAGGGGGAGTGGGATAGTTGTCGCCATAACCGTTAAATGATCATCCGGTCGTTTTTGACTAATTGAATTTTAAAATGCTGACCATTAGATATTAACTTGGTAGTCAAATAATGAAAATATCGAGACAACACGTGAAATTAATTGGTTTAGTCTCTATCGGAATCGTTGATGCTTACTGTTAAGGAGTCCTGTGTTATGGCAAATCAGCCGTTCTTGGTGTTCAGTGGGACTTTGAATGAAGTCAATCCGTGATGAATACTGCTTAAAACGTAGTCCAATCTCCTCTGAATTTATCTATGAAAACCATAACAATAAATATTGTCATTCTTTACAGTTCAGCTTCTGTCACATGGATATAGTGTTGTAATTGTAGCCTAATTAATATCAGTCGATTGACAATCACCTATCCAAATAACAATTATAATTCTTTACCCGAGTATACTCCAATTATACTCCTTGGAAGATATAAACTAAACATCTATTTGTCCGGAATGGAACTTTGTCTTCACCCTCTGGGATTAAGTTAGATAAGAGAACACGGCAAACAAACATGATCTCTATTGTGTAGCATTCTAATGACTCAAGCAATAATATGGTGTGAATCTTTGACCGTGCATCAGTGTATATAAGAAATTACATAGTATGCGTCACTGCCATAATTGAAAGCGAAACTAATTAATAGATCCGTAATTTATTAAAAATAACTTAAGGAAGATAAAACATACCACAATAATTTATGCCGCAAACAAAAGGGGGGTAAAAAATCTAATAACTCAAATGTATGATAATTATACAATAGAAATAGAAACAACAATTTTACATAAGATAGTTCCAAGCGTTAACAGATTTCACAATATTTATTCCGTTTTAACATATATTACATATCTTTAAGTGTTATTCTCTTCATACAATAAAAGGACACTTAAAGAAATGGTTGTTTCTAAAAGTCGTATCTCCCCGAAATTTCAATTTAAAGCTAGTTAAGTATTTAAAAAAATTAACAACATTAATCCTGTTATCTCTCTTTTTTATAAATAAAACGGTAACTGGAATCTGCAATTCTTTTTTGGCATCTAGCTGGACTATTTTCAATTCATCATACGGGAAGTTTCGAGAATGAAATTTTAAGCATCGTTCTAACAATCATTGAAGATATTAGTCAACAGACGAATTTAGTGGAAAAACGCAAGCAAGATCTAATCTGTCTTATTCTACCTGGATTAGCACGTTTAGCTGTTTGTTCGAATACAAAGCCTGAAGTAAGATCTATATGTGTAAAAGTAAGTCTACATTAATTTACTCAATAATTGTTTTATGTGTTGTTTTTTTAACAGGTGACTTGTTTTCTAAGTACATAAGAACGTAATTAGGCTTGTTAGTTTGTAAGCACCTATGAGAAAAGATATATGGTGTTAAGATACAGTTGGCAGACAACATCTCTATTGACCTTGTTATTGTCTCTGTATTTGATTCAAAATATAAACGTAATTAGGGATTTATCGACTGATGAACTCAATTATACAGAAAGCTTGTTACAGACAGCGTTCAACGTTCTTTTTTCTTCTATGGTTGTCGTTTGTGTAAGTAATTAATTCTTTCCTCAGTTTCTTATCTAATCCCATCTATCTTTACAATATTCTGTATTTGTTTTTCTGACTAAGTGTGTCGCAATATTCTGGTTTCCAAATTAGTTAATTAAATTAATGAGAGATATACAATGACTATCAGTCGATCAATTGTCAATAAAATATCGGTCCGTGATCTCAATTTAAAATAAAATATCTGGCTAGAGATTAATGTTTAATTTTTCAAGAGTACATACTTATCTTCATTATTACAAAGCTAAGCAGGAAACACTGAATGATTAGTTATTGAACTTTGGACATTTCATTTCTTAATAATGTTTATTATCAGCAGAGTTGAATGGTAGTTATTAGTGAAATCCAAAACGCACGTTTCTTCCTATCCCGAGGAAATCCTCAAAGAATGTGCGTTTCTCAAAAAAGATTGATCAATTGCAGTTCCAAACATCAGTGAGAAGATTGAAAAGTAACTAATACAAATGAACTATGTTTATGGATATTGATTTGTCTCATTAGTTACCATCTAGTTACTAATGTAGTTATTATCACATAAATACGATTACTTTTTTATAAATGATAATAAAGAATTATATGCTGGAAACATCAAATTCAAGTGCTTAATTTGAATCTGTGTTTTCATGATAACTCACTACCAATGTCTATGGTCTGAACTAATCAAGATGTATTTTCTCGAAAATTCCATACAATTTCCCCATTGATAAATTCGACCGAATCAAAGATGACAAACTTTTTTTATTTCGTGATTTACTTACTTACTCCTGTTACTCCTCGTTGTGGAGCATAGACCGCCCACCAGCATTCGCCATCAAACTCTGTACTGGGCAATCTTTTCCAGTTGAATTATTGGTATTACTTTTAAAAACTATACTATGTGCATACTTTATATCATAATATATCAGAAATGTTCTCATCAATAAGGATTAATAAAATTGCACTAAATTATGAAAGAATAGTAAGAGATGTTTGAATGTATGTCTATTTCAAAAAATATGAATAAACAAAAGATGTTACGCAACTATATATTGGAAACCGAGATCATTAGGAGAATGCGGGCATAACGATAGAATTCTTTTGAATGTATGAATTCGTTTTAAACTTGCTTTAGTCAAAATTTATTTGGTCAGACTCGATAAACTTAATATATTTTGAAATTCTATTATAATTTTTTGTCTTAACAATATCAAAATTAAGTAGATTCTAGTTAAGTTCGACCAAAATGATTGTTAAGCATTGCAAATCTACATATAAATACTGTGAATTATACTAAGCGTTCATCTCTACTTCACAGATATTATCTTGTTTCCTTCTTTTCTCTGTTTACCTCTTCAAATATATCGATACATGATGTTGTTTAACCTACTTCTTACTGATTGTTGGTTTATGTTGTTGCCGTTACTGTTCTTTTATTGTTACATCTAGTTATTATTGCTTCGTCTGGATTAAGTTGGTTTTTAGTTACTCATTTCTCTTTTACATTAAAATTCTATCAGTCACTTCATTTTTTATTGTTTTCTATTTTTCTCCATTTCTTATGTTTACTAATCTGACTCATTTTCCTGGTTAAGTTAACTGACTACACCCATTTGTCATCGGTATATATATAACACAAGCAAACTTGATGCAGTGATCTCTGAGAAAAACCAGAAGTGTTTCACTCCTTTTTTTCTTACATTTGATAAAGGAAAATTTGTTCTACCCCTTGTCTTTCACACTCATACGCTAGTAAGATAAGACTTCTCGAGGATTGTATAACAGTCTCTTAACGCAGATTATTTGTATCCATTATAAAGTACAACAAAGCAATTTAGGCAATAAAAATATCATGAGTACCAGTTACTTACTTACTTACGCCTGTTACTCCTCGTGAAGGAGCATAGGCCGCTCACCAGCGTTCTCCATCCAACCCTGTCCTGGGCAATCCTTTCTAGCTCCGTCCAGTTGTAATTCATCCTTTTCATATCTGCTTCTATTATCCGACGCAATGTGTTCTTTGGCCTTCCTCTTTTTCGCTTCCCTTCAGGATTCCAAGTTAGGGCTTGCCTCGTGATGCAGTTTGACGATTTGCGTAATGTATGTCCTATCCATTTCCATCGTCTTTTCCTAATTTCTTCTTCAGCTGGAAGTTGGTTTGTTCTCTCCCACAGAAGGCTGTTGGTGATGGTATCCGGCCAATGGATGTTGAGTATCTTGCGAAGACAGCTATTTATAAATACTTGTACTTTCTTGATTGTGGTTGTTGTAGTTCTCCAAGTTTCAGCTCCATACAGTAGAACTGCCTTGACGTTCGTATTGAAGATTCTCACTTTGATATTGGTTGAAAGTTGTTTTGAGTTCCATATGTTCTTCAATTGTAGGAATGTGGCCCTTGCTTTGCCGATCCTCGCCTTTACGTCTGCATCTGAACCTCCTTGTTCATCGATGATGCTTCCCAGGTATGTGAAGGATTCTACATCTTCCAGAGTTTCGCCATCAAGAGTGATTGGACTGCTGTTCTCCGCTTTGAATTTGAGGACCTTAGTTTTCCCTTTGTGTACGCTGAGGCCTACTGATGCAGAGACTGCTGCTACACTGGCTGTCTTCATCTGCATCTGTTCGTGTGTACGTGATAGGAGGGCTAGGTCATCTGCGAAGTCCAAATCGTCTAATTGATTCTGAGCTGTCCATTGTATTCCGTGTTTTCGTTCAGATGTTGAGGTCTTCATAATCCAGTCGACCACCAGGAGAAAAAGGAAGGGAGAGAGTAAACAGCCTTGTCTGACTCCGGTCCTTACTTGGAATGCATCTGTCAGCTGACCTCCATGCACTACTTTGCACTGTAGTCCGTCGTATGAGTTCCGGATTATATTGACAATCTTCTCAGGAATTCCGTAGTGTCGAAGAAGTTTCCATAACGTCCTCTTGTCTACACTGTCGAATGCCTTTTCATAATCAATGAAGTTGATGTATAGTGATGAGTTCCACTCAACTGATTGTTCGACGATGATCCGTAGTGTTGCAATTTGGTCTGTGCACGACCGATCCTTACGGAATCCAGCTTGTTGATCTCGAAGTTGGGCGTCTACTGCATCCTTCATCCGGTTCAGCAACAATCTGTTGAAGACTTTCCCTGGTATTGACAGTAGTGTTATGCCTCTGTAGTTTTCACATTTGCTCAGATCTCCTTTCTTTGGAATCTTGATGAGGTGTTCTTCTTTCCAGTCCATCGGCACTTGTTCCTCCTCCCAAATCTTTTTGAATAGAAGATAAAGCATGCTTGTGGTTGTTTCGATGTCTGATTTCAGTGCTTCAGCTGGTATGTTGTCAGGTCCTGCTGCTTTGCCGTTCTTGATTTGTCTGACGGCCATTCTAATTTCTTCCGTAGTTGGTGGATTGACATCTATAGGAAGATCTATGTGTGCTGCTTCGATATCCGGTGGATTCATTGGAGCCGGCCTATTCAGGAGTTCCTCGAAGTATTCTACCCATCTGTTACGTTGTTGTTGAATTTCGGTGATTGGCTTGCCTTCTTTGTCTTTGACCGGTCTCTCTGGTTTACTGTATTTCCCTGATAGTTTCTTCGTTGTATCGTAAAGCTGTTTCATATTTCCTTCTCTAGCAGCTTTTTCTGCCGTCGTTGCTAGTTCTTCCACGTATTTCTTCTTGTCGGCTCTAATGCTCCTCTTCACTTGTTTGTTTGCTTCTATGTATTCAGCATGTGCTTGGACTTTCTCTGCTCGTGTTCGGCTGTTGTTTATTGCTGCCTTCTTGTTCTTCCTTTCTTTGATCTTGTCCACTGTTTCTGTAGAGATCCATTCCCTATGATGGTATTTCTTTAGACCGAGAACCTCTTGACACGTTGAAGTTAATGCTTCCTTGATGCCTTTCCAGTTGTCCTCCATAGTAGTTTCTTCTTTCAGTAGATCTCGTAAGGCTTGGAACCTGTTGTTGAGAGCTATCTTGAATTCATTGAGTTTGTTAGTATCTCGAAGGAAGGCTGTATTGAACCTTTGTATTGCTGTTTGTCCACTTGTCCAGTTCTTTTTTAGCTTCAGTGTTAAATTGGCTACAACTAGGTGGTGATCTGAAGCTACGTCAGCACCTCTCCTGGTTCTCACATCTTCCATTGTCCTTCGGAATTTTTTGTTGATGCAAATATGATCTATTTGGTTCTCTGTAGTGTGGTCCGGTGAGATCCATGTAGCCTTGTGTATACGCTTGTGTGGAAATATTGTGCCTCCTATGACCAATTTGTTGAATGCACATAGATTTGCAAATCTTTCTCCATTTTCGTTTCTTTCTCCCAGTCCATGTCGTCCCATAATATCTTCATATCCAGTGTTGTCTATTCCGACTTTGGCATTTAGATCTCCCATTAGAATGGTGAGGTCCTTTCTTGGGCATTTCTCTATCACTGACTGCAGCCGCTCGTAGAATTGATCTTTAATGTCGTCGTTGCTATCATTGGTGGGTGCATAACATTGGATAATATTCATTAAGATCCCCTCCTTCTTTGTTTCGAATGATGCTTTGATGATTCTGGATGTGTGAGATTCCCATCCTACAAGTGCATTTCGTGCTACTTTGGACAGCATAAGAGCGACTCCCTGAGTGTGTGGAGCATTGTCCTCTTCGTGACCGGAGTATAGCAGCATCTCTCCCGTAGCTAGCCTTTTCTGTCCAGCTTGAGTCCAATGGGTTTCGCTGATTCCCAGTACTGCTAAGTTGTATCTCCTCATTTCCATTGATATTTGACTGGTCTTCCCGGTTTCCCACATTGTTCGAACGTTCCATGCACCTATAAAAATTTTTGCTCTGGTTGTTAGAAGGGGCATCGGCCTCGTGGCTTCCGAAGGAACTCGGCTTTCACCATGAAGCGTCATAATTCTTCTAAATGAAGACCTTCTAACTCCCAGGGCAGAGTTAAAATGGTTTGGATTATTTTTTCTGGTAAGCGTTTTTTTAGCGAGTTAGTTTTCTACGGGATGGGGACGCTAACCCCATGCCCAACCCTCCTCCTTTACCCGGGCTTGGGACCGGCAGTAACCCTATAAGAGCTACAGGCGGAGTTATGAGTACCAGTGATTAGAAGTTAATTAAGTTTTTATCGACCGTGAAAACTAGTTGTTAAGGTATTTATCTATTTGTTCATATAAAAAATAACGTAAACATAGTATACTATACTTTCTTTAAGATATTTGGTTTTCATGCATTTGGTGTCAGACAAAAACAACTACTTTAGTGAGTTTATAGTTTTTTATTAGAAATATAAACTATTTAACTCTAGTAGGTCATATGGTCACCTTTGCATAACCAATGTCATAAATAATCGTCACCTGTCCACCTCATATCCATTTGAACAACCAGTCGTAAAACTATGATTGCAAAATATCTGCAGTATAGAAGTTTTTTGACATTTCGAAGTGAATAATCAAAATAAACATGTTATATATATGTTTTTTTAACATTTAACATGTCCACTTATTTAAATGTATGGGTTAGGCTTATTAGCATTAATTCTTGTGAAAAATCAGCGTAAATGCGAGATCTTGAATGATCAGGCAGGTTGAACAGGACCAGATAGATAAAGTTAAATAAAGCAAGAACAAATATTGGTGCAGAATAGTATGAATTCATATTATTTCGAGGTTTCTCGTCAGCTGCTTACAAACCAAAAATGTGATAGAATTTTTACATTGAGATAGAGTGAAAACAATTGACATAGATGAGTGTAAATAACTGGGTTACAGTAATAACTATATATATATGCTAGAACAGGTCAGAGGTCAAAAGGAATTAATTCAGGGTGGGTGGTGTAATAATGGAATTGAATAATCATAAGATAGGTTACGTAATAATAATTAAATAGAATTTAAAAGTTAAGATAATTTAAGAGGACCAAGTGGTGGAAATGTGTGAATAATAATGTGGTTTAAGAATTATGTAATAGGGAAGGAGTATAAATATTTTAAAATAAATAAACAAAAATAAAATAAAATAAAAAGGTTACCAGGGTAGTGATAAGTTAATTAAAGTCTCTTTTTGGATGCATAAGTCAGGTTTAAGTTTTTTGATCATGATGGCTTCAGCAAAACGGAGGGTGGTCGTACTTCTTTGTCTATTGATAATTTTGAAAACATGCGGAATGTCGATGGTGTGCCCGGTGTCAAGTAGATGTCGAGCTATTGCGCTGTTGAAGGCCTTATTCCCTCGCAGCCTCAAGTTTTTTTGGAACATGCTCAGAAATGCGGACATGCACTCTTCTCTCAGTTCTTCCAATGTATGTGCTTTGGCACGTACATGTGAATTGGTAGATGTAGTTGGAGGTACTAAGAAAAGAGGGCTTGTCGATTTTGGTTTGTTGAAGTGAGCAGTTCGTTTGCCATACTGTCATGAGTTTTGCTGATGGGTAGGTGACTTTCGACACAGAGTTTATTCTGTGATTAATTATTCCAGCAATTTCATCATCTTTGAAACGTAAGTGTAAGAAGCAGGTTTTCCTTTCTACTCCATCGTATTTTGTACGAGGATTGCTTTTTGAATATTTCTGGATAAATTTCAATGGGTATTCATTATCACGTAGAGCATTAGTAATCAGATTAATTTCATCATCAAGGTATTCTTTTGAACAGATTTTATGAGCGCAGTCAAAAAGGGTTCGTACAATACCCTTTTTGTAACTCATTGGGCAGAAACTGTGGTAATTGAGATATAGACCACTCGAGGTATTTTTATGGTGAATATGTCTATGTAATTTACCATCAGATGTTCGTCGGATCCCAACATCAAGGAAATGGAATTTGTCTTCAGCTTCTTGTTCCATAGTAAACTCTATGTCCTCGTGTGCTATATTAAATAGATCGAGTAGCTTAATGGCGTGTTCGTGATGGTTGCAGACGAAGAATGTGTCACCAATCCAAAAGAAACTAACACCTTACAGTCTAAAAGATAGTTTTCAATTTGTACAAAACTCGACAACCTAAATGTTTCCGACAAATTTATGGTTTCATTTGACGTCTCATCGCTATTCACAAACATCCCCTTGGAAGAAACGATAGAGATCATATGTGATTATCCTGAACTTCTACCGATACCAATTCATGATTTTAAACAGCTCCTCTTTTTGTATACAAAAAACATACAGTTTCAATTCAATAATGTCCTTTACCGCCAAATCGATGGAGTTGCCTTGGGTAGCTCATTGGGCCCAATTCTTGCTGATATATAAATGGGAAATTCCATTTCCTTGATGTTGGGATCCGACGAACATCTGATGGTAAATTACATAGACATATTCACCATAAAAATACCTCGAGTGGTCTATATCTCAATTACCACAGTTTCTGCCCAATGAGTTACAAAAAGGGTATTGTACGAACCCTTTTTGACTGCGCTCATAAAATCTGTTCAAAAGAATACCTTGATGATGAAATTAATCTGATTACTAATGCTCTACGTGATAATGAATACCCATTGAAATTTATCCAGAAATATTCAAAAAGCAATCCTCGTACAAAATACGATGGAGTAGAAAGGAAAACCTGCTTCTTACACTTACGTTTCAAAGATGATGAAATTGCTGGAATAATTAATCACAGAATAAACTCTGTGTCGAAAGTCACCTACCCATCAGCAAAACTCATGACAGTATGGCAAACGAACTGCTCACTTCAACAAACCAAAATCGACAAGCCCTCTTTTCTTAGTACCTCCAACTACATCTACCAATTCACATGTACGTGCCAAAGCACATACATTGGAAGAACTGAGAGAAGAGTGCATGTCCGCATTTCTGAGCATGTTCCAAAAAAACTTGAGGCTGCGAGGGAATAAGGCCTTCAACAGCGCAATAGCTCGACATCTACTTGACACCGGGCACACCATCGACATTCCGCATGTTTTCAAAATTATCAATAGACAAAGAAGTACGACCACCCTCCGTTTTGCTGAAGCCATCATGATCAAAAAACTTAAACCTGACTTATGCATCCAAAAAGAGACTTTAATTAACTTATCACTACCCTGGTAACCTTTTTATTTTATTTTATTTTTGTTTATTTATTTTAAAATATTTATACTCCTTCCCTATTACATAATTCTTAAACCACATTATTATTCACACATTTCCACCACTTGGTCCTCTTAAATTATCTTAACTTTTAAATTCTATTTAATTATTATTACGTAACCTATCTTATGATTATTCAATTCCATTATTACACCACCCACCCTGAATTAATTCCTTTTGACCTCTGACCTGTTCTAGCATATATATATAGTTATTACTGTAACCCAGTTATTTACACTCATCTATGTCAATTGTTTTCACTCTATCTCAATGTAAAAATTCTATCACATTTTTGGTTTGTAAGCAGCTGACGAGAAACCTCGAAATAATATGAATTCATACTATTCTGCACCAATATTTGTTCTTGCTTTATTTAAATGCATAAAGGGAACCAATTGCATGAGATAAAGTTAAAATGGATTTTACATCTAGTTGGGCTTTGATGGAGCTTCGGATCTTAATTATCTGTGAATTACTGGACCATGAGTGGAGATTTTTCATTTTTTTTTTACCTCTTCTGAACTAACTGATCATACTTTGCAGCAAGTTACCTATATTTGTGTTTATTTGTTGATTCTCAAAATCATGTAAAATCAAATTAGTTGGGTCACCGCTACAAAGTGTAAGCTGAAACTAAGCTGAAAAAATATTTATATAAGAGTTTACTTTTCCGTGAGAATATTTCATCCTGTTTGCATAGATTTTAGGGTAAATATTCATGTGTTCCGATGTATACTATCAAATTTATTCACTGAAATTTTTCTTATCACAGTTACAAGTGACATACGTATTCTGACGTTTTTACTGGCTTATGTAGAAGTTTTATATATTTGATCGACAAAGTACTATTTATATAAATGTTTTTTCTTGCAGTGTAAGTACAGGAGACTAGATATGAAAGAAATTATTGTTTGTAGATTGATTCCAATCATCGGTGTTTTGATTGTTCATCGTATGAAACAGCACTTTCGTTTAAAAAATTACGGATTAGAAACATTCATATAGTAAACAAATGGTCGGACACTTAAGTGTCCGTGACTGTACCTGGAAATTCTGTGCCAAAGAACATTTATGTATCGATTTTCCTTTCATTTTGCCTCGTTAGATTTTTGTGATTTTGATCTTTTTGACGAAGTATTCAGCTCAAGATTTATAAACAACGAAGAAATAAGATATGCAATTTATGTGCATCGTCTCTCGTACTATATATATTTTGTAAAAACAACATAGATGCAGTTTAATACACTTTTCACTTCATTGCGACACTTTTGAAAATTTTAATACTTTTATTAATGCAAATTAAAAACGACAGAGCCGTTATTGAACAGCAGATTATTTAAATCTCTTTAAATGCTACTTAACTTATTCTATTACGTAATATTAAAATTGTATCCATATATCTTCATATGTTTTCGTTTTCCAAATTCACTACATACGTTTTCATCGATTATAGATCTAAGGGGAAAATGCCTCATTCTATCATCTTTCTTCCATTACAGTGTGTTTATTAAGACATTCTCTGTTTAAACTACGTTTAAGTTGTAATAAACAAATGCGAATAGTGGGTGATGAGCAGTTTTTCGTGTATTGTATCTCTAGTGATATAAGAATACAACTAAAATATTTTTATTCTGAAATTTTTTAAAAATTTATTATTAAACTATATTATGAGCAGGAAAATGCAAATCTCTGACTAGTATGCTGACCTGCACGAAATATAACCAAAAAACAACTTGATGAAATTAATTCAGAAATTGATGATAAACATTATCTAGACCATTAATAAATAATCTTACTACGTGGAAAAAAGTACACTTTTCTATAGTTATCAGTTAAAATAAGTATAACTTTTATTTTTGTTGTTGTTGACAATCTTTGTTGATCCATATAAAAAAATGCATTAATTAATTTTCTGGTTAATTTCTTTTTTCCGAAGATTATCACCAATTTGGCATCAGTGTTTCTCGGTGAATCCGACATGGCCGATTCAACAGCTAGTCTAGTTGAGCTTGAACGCGCCTATTCAGTCACATCAATCGGACATGAAGATCCTCAGCCATCTATTCAATTAAGAAAATATGATAGAACATCTTCAGCTGTCTATGACAGACCAGTTAGCGCAGATGCAGATGTTCTGTTGGGTGGAATGTCTAAGACCAAGAAAACAGATAGAACGCAAAACTTCTCAAATTTGAATCATGTTATGTCATCACGGATGACTACTTCACAGTACACTCTTGGATGTGATCCAGGAAGTAAATCACGTGGTTCCAATGGAAATAAAAGTACCGGTGTTCTTTCCAATCAAACTCGAGTGAAAAATAATCGAATCGATCCTAGCCAGAACCCTGATAATATTGGTAGTGCTATCCAACCACCCTCTCCAGATGTCCTTCTGGCTTTGTTTGATTTAGTCAACAAACTTTTAGTTCCTTATGTAAGTTTCGAAGTTAGTTTTTGAATTAACTTTGATTACTTTCCTCTGCACTTTATTATAACATGTAGTTGAGCTACGATGTTCAAAACTTGCTATATACATAAATATAGTTCCGCTTTCCGAAAACCTCATATTATTGGTGTTTCAAACTTCCTACGACCTTAAAAATAATATCATTTCCAGGCACAAAGATCATATACAGAAATATTCAAATAGCCTACTGTTTTCAGTCACCTCATAACATATATGTTTCATTTACTGATAACCTTGACAGAAAGACATAACTTAATAAATAGTGCACCAAAAAATTAGATATTAAGTGACAAAAGCACTTACTTATGTGCGTACGACTGTCACCCGTCGTGGAGGAGCGAAGGACGCTGACCGGAATTCCCCATCGAACTCTGTCCTGGGCAATCCTTTCCAGTTGTTATTCATTCTTCTCATTTCTGCTTCCAATTCCCGACACATTACCTTCTTCGGTTGTATCTTTCACTTTTCCTCTCAGGATTCTAAGTTGATGCTTGTATCGTGATGAAGTTTGTCCTATTCATCTCCAGCGTATTTTCCTAATTTTCTGCTTAACTGGAAGTTGGCTTGTTCTCTCACACAATAGGTTATTACTGATGGTATCCGGTCAATGTACATAAAGTATCTTGCGTAGACAATTGTTTGTAAATACATTTAGTTTTCTGATGATGGTTGTAGTAGTTCTCCAAGTTTGAACTCCATACAGTGGAACTGTCTTGACGTCCGTATTGAAGATTCTGACTTTGATGTTGACTGATAGTTATTGTGAGTTCCATATATTCTTCAACTGTAGGAATGCTGTCCTTCATTTGCTAATGCTTGTGTTTACATCTGCACCCTATCCTCCTTGTTTATCGATGAAGCTACCACTTGATTTGACAGTCATATTCATGATTGTCTTATCTTTGTTTATTATTGTAAAATATATTCATTGATTAATGGGAATATTTACATTTTAAATAACTGCTGACTAGTAAAATCTAGAGCTCATTATGTTTGAAAATCACTATTCGGGTATCATTCCACATATCACTCTTATTTTGATAATCCGGATTCATGTTCAATATGTTAAATTATATCGAAATAATAATTTGACTTTCTTTTTCCTCGACTAGAATTAATCCTAATTAACATCTCAATAAGATAAAATATAGATTTGTGTTTGATAAAATTTCACTTCAGAAAATTATATGTATGGAAACATATTCACATATAAATAAATTATTATAACTCTCTTCTTCATTATCAGAGTATTGTTTTATGAATTCATTACTGCTATGTGTATTTTCGAATTTTACTAATTGCAATTCATATTTTGAATAAATCTATTTATGTGGAATGATAAAATTTGATTAATAACGCTTATTAAGTATCATGTACTCGTTTACAGGTTAGTTTGAAGCTGGATTTTCCAAAGTGTTGGTCAGAATACACCATTTATGAATTCGTCCAGGTCCGAATTCAGGGACTTTTTCACTGAGAATATTTGCTGTGGATCACATTAAATTACATAGGTTAACTGGACTGTAACTCAATCAATAAATGGTATCATACTCACTGTATGGATCCTGAAAGTTTCAAGATTTATCCTATGTGTGGTTGTGTCGATACTTTGTTAGGAAGTTCCAAATCTGATTATACAATATCTGTTCAATGATTTCTGTCTTCTAATGATTCCCTCATTCGTGTCTGTTGCTGACAGTGGAAATTATCTTCGAGACAAGTTGGTTAAAAACAGGAAATAAATTAGGACCATTTAGTTCATAACAACAGCGATAACACCTTATAGCTTTAATGGCTGTCGTAATCCGATATAATGATTTTCTTATTGCTGAATTGTGTGTATTTATAGCAATTATAGCTCATAAGATAGTGTAGCATTGTAGTATACTCTAATTACAAGATATTTGTTGAAAATCTCTCAATTGATTAGAGAAATAAATCTATTTATTTTTGCTTGAATTAGTTTAGTCAATATGTCATTCCTCGTTGTAATTCACTTACTAATAACTATGAGATTGACTTATTGGCCAATATAGCTCATTTACTAAAAATATGTTTATGAATTTAATTATCGGTCGCACTTGTATTATGGTCTAACGATACTATTTGACTGCTCAAATCGAAGTGAATAAATTGAGATTCAAATTTATGTTTTAATCATTAATTTACTGTCTCATTCACTAATTAACTAGTTAGAAGTTTCGAACTATACAACTGATACTCAATAATTCAGTATTTTATAAATCATGAAACATTTTATAAAATGATTTGTATTTTGAAAATCATTTTCCAATGTGTAAAACATCTAACTAAAACTTCATTACTTCATTTAATAAATTTGTTTTAATGGAAAAAACTTAGCAATAATTTATAATTCAGAACTTGTAGAAAATTTTTATTTAAGATGTGAATTTATTTTCTAATCTTATCAATATGCCAACACCCCTTATTTAATTTAACTTCTCAAGGCCAAACAAAGTAAGTTACAAAATCTTTAAAATATTTCGTGTTTGGTTTATGTTTTGACACTATGCACATACATTCACACACAGATAAGAAGTAATAAGAAGCACTTGTACATTGTGCAAATCATATAAACGTAAATAACTACAAAAGAAATATGCATTTATAACTAATTAATCAGAGTTCTGTTAAAACATTAACATTAAATATTCATGTTTGTGTAATAATAATAATAATAATAATAATAATAATAATAATAATAATAATTGGGTGACTGGTAATGTATATTAAAAATTTTAGATGTGTCTGTAATTATTTAATTAACCTGCACTTATATTCTAACTTAATTGAACCGTGATAATTGATCATATTGAATTTAACGTTTTTATTTGCACTATTTTTGGTTGTTTCCTTCGTATTTAGTAAACTGATTGTGAATATTGAATAGGATATCATTTTCAAATAAAATATATGTGTTAAACTAAGTTTGAATCTTGGGATGTGACACATGTTTACCCAATTCGAATGCTGATTAATTTTACTAGTTATGAGGTTACAACGAGTTGAACTGATGGAGTTGAATGTTCTTTTTCATATTTTATGTTCATACTTTTCATGATTGTATGACCCAACTTATTTATGATACTCAGTCTATTGTAGTGAATGAGAACACTAGTAGAGACAACCAAGTGTATTTGAATACAAAATTACAGAATGTCGCAGTAAAATCTGAGAACCATACTGTGAATAATTCATTTGCAAAATTTCAATCAATTGTCCCAAACTTGATTGTTCCTTCGTTTCCACACCAATCACTCTCTGTTCTTGTTCTCTTCTCTTCGATCTCCTTTTACCTTCTTCCGCCAGGAGTTTGGTGATACATATATCTGTCGACATCAGTGGCACACATCACACTATGACTTGTAACTATTCGACTGAGATGAATTTCGCAAGCATCAATTATTAAACTTTTACTTCCCAATCACACATTAGAACTCGAAAATGTTGTTATTACAAAGCACTCACAGTCTGTCGTAAACATTTTCTGTTCAATGCTGTTTTAAACTTCAATTATAATTGTCATAGAACATTCGAGTTCATTTGATACGATATATATTATGTTGTAATTATATTAATTAATGATGGGTAGGAAATATATAGTGCTTGAAATTTTATAAATCAGAACTGTAAACAAGTTGCTCAGTCGAATCACTTTTTTAAAATCTTAAATCAGTATAAATATGATTAAACTAAATTTTACCATAATCTAGCCTTGGAAAACTTGTAGTTCAATAATATAGACAAATATTTACCGGGATATTTGTGGTTATTCACTAAGATCAATCGCTGGAGTGTTCATGCAATGTGAATGTGTTTCATGATGAGTTGATATCAGTCTGAGAAGCTCAGGAAACCAAGATGTATTTAACGGTTATTGTACCCTAATTACATTTGAATTGTACAAAATCTCCACAGAACAACTTAGAACAAGTCACTGTTTTTTTGAGAACTGAAATGCTAAATACTATCCTATCTCCAATCAACTAACATCTAAACATAGTACACTTGATATTGAGTCATTTGGACCACTAATTATATGGCGGCCTGATCGACAAAATTCGATCAGCACTAGAAGATTATACAAATACTTGTACGTATCCAAGCCGTACAGAGTATCGTACATGACCCAAATACATCAATGGAAAATAGACTATGAAGCTGGAGTTATGGAGGTTCTAATCCACCGAGTGAAGTGGACGCTACTTCGAAGATTGCTTATAAGTAGTATGTAAAACAGAGCGTCCCTCGGCAGTTGATGTAATCAATAGCCAAAGACAGGAGTCTCAGAAAGTCAAAAGCATGGATAGTTCGGAGTACGTATGAGACCAGAAGTTCTAGTAGTCTACGATCAGCTTGAGTTGCAGAACACACAATAGATGCAAATGAAAGATTGAAGACTAAGTGTGTATATTTCGTGAACAATCTGTGTTCCGTTACAGATATTGAATAATCATATCTTTTAAACTACTTATCACCCACACTTTGTGTATATCATGAATAGTATTAAGTAAAACAGTTTGTTTTAGTACTTAATACATAAACGTCAGATTTGTACATAGTAATATGTTTGTGATGAAAATGAAACGAAAAATACCGAACACTTGAAAGTAGCACAAAGTTTCGAACTCTTGAAAAATACATAACAAGAGTATATCACGTGAATTCTTTTGAACCTTTTTGAAAACTGTTAAGTATGTAAAACTGTTAAATATTAAAGAAGTCTCATTAATTTATTTTAAACGCTTTTCATAATTTCATTAAAAACTATCATGATAGAATGCATGAATTATATCCTTTGAAGGCAGTCAGTTACATAATGAGATTTCTTGCTTTTATTCACATTTCTACAAATTTAGAAGAATGTCATATAATGATATCACATTGGCAGAATTCTACACTTCGACTTATTTGTTTATGTGAAAACTTACAACTAATTAATGCTCACCTCACCTAAATATGAGTCTGTGAATTTTGCTTCAACTTTGTCACCGTTTACTTGTGGGTATAATAATTTCAGACTTACTGACTGATATTATGTTCACAAAACATATGTACAATCCTGAATATTTAAATAATATAACCCTGCTTACATCTGACTTATTAACTCGTTAATGCTCTCTGAAATTTTCAGCAGAAAATTGATAGAGTCCTTTTAAATGAAGATACATGTTAACCAAGGTTTCTTAAACACTTGCCTAATTTCATTCACTGATATTGAGCTGGATTACTCTGGTTTCTTGAGTAAATTATGAGCTATAGTAGTTTGACGATCAACAAAATCTCGATATAACTACAGATGGTTTTCGGTTATGTCATTTAAGTTCTAAAGGTTGGCACATAATTTTATTTGTATATACCTAGCCTTCAATGATTTCATAGCATCAGTAGTACATGATAGAATCATAATGTCCGCAATATCATTCATGCTTCATGAAAGTTTTAGTATTTTATACTATTTATTATGAATAAATGCTTGGACTGACTGAACTGTATGTCTGGGGTGCGTTGGAGCACTCGATAACAGACATTTTTAAGGATACTGCTCAAAATCAACTCCAGATTCATGAATCTTTTTACACTTTTATCTTTCGAGCATTATATATATATATATATATATATATATATATATATATACTATTTCTATTTGTTCCTATTCCTATATCTTTTTTCAGTATTTCATCTGTTCGTGGTTTTATAAGTTATTAGCTCTTCAGCCGATGAATCATATTTTCGTGCTCTACTTTGTATCAGACTGTTTGGTTTGAGTGAATCATTTGTGTGTTAAGTACTTATAAAAGCAGTCAATCTTCTCTGTTAGGTATTCAAGTTCATCAAAGGGGATTTTCTTTTGCAAATTTATTTAAAGTAATTATTCTTTTGGAATTAACTTTGTCCTATAATAAAGAGGTTTCCAGTATCATAGTTGAACTATCCTATAATAATCATTGTATTTCTTAACCGTTTCGTTTTACTTATGTTTGTCAATCGTAACTTTTTCCTCATCACTGTTGACATCGTTTCATAAAGCATCATAATGATTGTCGGATTTCTACACAGAATAATTAACTGACCATTAACTAATGTTTTGCTCTGTTCGCTTTTGGTTAACCTATTTTTATCATTTTTTGTGGACAGAAAATAGTTCTACATAATCGAGATCTAAAACTATTCATCTTGGTCTCGTATTTCCTGGTCACCACTAGTGCTATGACAAAATCGATCAAATCGCTCGGATAATAAACGTGATGGGACTTAAAATTCTCACTCATAATCAATCGTTAAATCCTATTTCAATAAATCTCACTGTGTAGAATCATTAGTTGCTTAATCAGACTTTTGATCATCTCTTAAAAAACTAGTTCTGTTAATTTCATATCTAACCCATATAGTCTACTTATGAATTAATTTTAAGTTAACAAATCATAATTTAAAATGGAAATTAGATTCATATTCCAACCGGCGGTAATCATTCACTGTAACAGTAATCAAGGCGTATTTACAATATCACGTGTTGTATCCTTCCAATATGGCTAATTGTTGTTTTTCCGCTGACATAAGCGATACTACGTGTGTGTGTAATTTATAACTATATATATAGTGAAGATTGTATTTGACCATTTAACAAATTTTGTGCTTTACTTTAAAATTTAATTTTGTTTTAAACATCATTTTTTGTGTGAAACTCATTACAATATTTAACAGATGATAAACAAATCAATGTTCTTCTCTGTAATAAAATATTTTTTATACAGTTAACTTCACCAACTACTCCAGTAATCTTAAGTTATTCTGTAAAATAAATTATTTTTTTTTAATAGTTTCTTAGCTTCACTTGTTCTGCAGCTCGTTGAAAATTATCAAGTGTTGATTTATATTGAATACATCAATAGAAGATTAGCTGTTTGGAGTTCGCAAATCTCTAGTAAATGAAATAAGAATCTTTAAGAATCTAAATACAAACTATTACAAATCTAAAATATTGATCAACCAGTGAATTACTGAAAATTAAATATCATGATATAAATGTTGAAATGAATGAAAAATTCTTTCCTTTGTTAAACTTATTTTCTTAGATTCGTATTTACCGACTGAATAGTATGAGTAGCGCGAAATTTTAGAATAATTTCCAGTTGTTTATCCAAGATTAAGTTCATGGATTTGCAGACGAGATAACATACGATACATAGTGAACATAAAATTAATAGAAATGAATTTAAAATAAAACTGTTAACAATCCTTTTAAAATCTTTATAACTTATTATAGAAAATAAAATTATTACGTGGCTTACCGTTTAATATTACACAATGCTTTATCCATATTCTTATTAATCATTTTGGTAAATTATTTGTATAGTACTTTGAAAATTCTTTTAAGAGAATTCAATAACCTGGAAATAATGAGGTGAACCGAGCCGACAACCACCGGCGTTGAAATTTGTTGTCATTTTTTTAGTATTCAGTAAACCATTATCATTCTTCAATCAGTTTACATAACTCCCTATCTAATCAATGTAGATACATATATGATTTAAACATCGATGAGATCGTTATTATTGAAAATACATGTACGTTCTTATTTGGTTTTTAATCGTCTGATTATATTACGTTTCTTTTGGATCATACTTACTTTAAATGTACTAAAGTGTCACATGTTGACAGATTGAATTTTTTTAAAAAAAGCTTTCAAGAGTTTTATCTATGCATACATTTATTTTTATGTGTGTATTTAGGTGGTTGAGCTTATGATTTCGTTGATATGTCGCCTTTACTTCTATTTAGTGGTTTTCGGTTGGTCGTATGACAATTTTTAAGCTACATTTCGCATGTTTATTTCTATGTTACAAAAAAAACAATTCTGGCTGACTTATTATTATACAATAACTAAATGAATATAATATCACTATTAAATTACATCATCTGTAAGCTAAACACAATCAAATTACTGTTAAATATTTGAGTTAATATGGCTGAAATACCGATGTCACGAGGATTGCAATTTTATAGTTCTTTGTTAATAATAAATATATTGAACCTAACTTCATAACTTTCTGTCGATTTTTCGCCTGTACCCAACGTTGAATATGTCAAAAACTCTATGTTTAGATAAGCAGTCGTGGAGACTGACATTTAATAAGCAATGAACATTGTTGATACTAGATATTGGTTACTATATGTAAACCACCCATAGAGCATAACGTTACGAAATTGATTTGTGCCACTAAATTGAATTAAATAATGTTTAGTATTGGTCGATTATAATTAGTTGCTCAAAATAATGTACTTAGCATCGCGCGTAAAAATGTTGATACATAAATTTAAGATTTTGAGACGTATGAAGAACCAATTCATCCGCTCGATAAGGAAAGAATAGAAACGGAACGATATTGGTATGCAAACGCATGAACAATGAAATCTGAGACAATGGACTGTTATTTGCAAAGAAACAGTCAAATTTGAGACGATGGATTGATATTTTGCAAAGTAACGATTTACTATATGAATCTCAGATTTTATTGAGATGCTCTGTAATTTCTTGTCAATTACATTCGATTGTCCCCACTCGTGTTCTTGTTCACTACAATAGCATATCCTTATATGGGTCAGATAAACATTCAGCGACTTTATGGGATGATGTTTTTCCTTTATTTGACCAACTCTAATTCTATCCCAGCGTACGTTTATGTTAGCTAGAAGGATGCGAAGTAGTAGGCTTAAGTGATGGCTTAAAATGATCAAAAAGTATGTCTTAAGTATCTCCATTAAATCAGAGTTAATTGTTTCATCTACTCGTTTGCCATCGTTTCTTGATACTCCATTTCTGACTTCTTAAGAGCTGATTATAAAATCTTTCGTATTACAAAACTAGTTTAATTCCCCTCCCTCTTGAATCCTTAAAAGTTGTTGATGTTATTTGTAATAAAAAAAAACTTAAAAATCATTACATAACCAAAGTCCATCTAGTTTTAAAAAGTGGATTGTGACCAGAAAATAACTATGTATTATAAATACAAGCTTTGTATGCAGATTATTTACTCGTTATCATATTTTAAAGTTATGTCTCACTTGTTTATTGTGTCTAACAATTTAAGTTCGAAATTGAATAAAATCAGAAAAATGTTATTGTATACTCAAGTATTTTACTCATATCATTGTATATGTTATCATTATTAAGGAAACTATGATGCTTTTGAATTTCTTTCGTTCTTCAGATGACTTAAAAAAATCTGACTTCATAAGTCAATGTACCTATTGGGGTAAACACTTGAATAAATATTATCATTTGATTCTATAAAGTGTGTAGAAATGATGTAAATTATATATTTTATTTCCTCATTTTAGCTTTAAATAAAAGTAACATTTGATTCGATCGATATGTTAAAGTATGTAGTACCACTTTGTTCTTACATAATTTATTTCTCTTCAGTTTTGTTTATATGTTTGAAAAACGATTCATATATTTCATAAATTTTCACGATACATAACCTTTAAAATATTTTCAGATGTTTCTTCGATTTTAAAATGACTTATTGTGCTGTTGTAGTCAGATTAAATCGTGTCTTTTTCTTTTGTACCTTTTGCTTTCAGGGTAATTCAGTCCTCACATGTCCTGAGATCACAGCTCCAACTGCATTTCTACGCTTGTTATGTTTATTGTTAAAATGTGCTTCTCAAGATTGTTATATTTTAAAGTATTCACTTTCAAATAATACATTGATCACACCAAATTCACCTTATTTTGAAAATTCTTCAAAACATAGAGACAGTTATGATTCTACTAGAGAGTTTATTCAACAACTGATATCAGATGAAACACATTTGTTTATTACAAACTTTTCTACTTATGGTTTAGATATTTCTTTAGTACGTTTATTAGCTTCACAACTTTTATCATCAACCTCATCATCGTCAATGGCACTGTCATCACATGCTTCGTTAGTGTCACCATTATATACTGGGAATTTAGGTTATTCAGAGAACAAATCAGTACTGCATTCATCATCACCTTCTGTGACATCAAATCTATGCCTTACTTTATTTGAATTAATACCTTTATTGTTTCATTGGTCCAATCTATGTAAACCAGATTACTTGATAATAAAATTACGTTTATTAGAATTAGTTACAATTGCTTGTTTAGAAATTGGACAAATATTAGTACCGGAGCCAAATTCCAATAGTGATGAAAAACAATCAGGAAATTACTCAAATAAAACTCATTACAATTCTGGAAAACATGTTAGTTATTGTTTGATTATATATATATATATATATATATATATATATATATATATATATATATCTGATGCAACCTTTTAGTCAAGAGTATGATCATGTAATATGTACGACTTTCTATACAATACTTTATTTAGAATTGAAATATGACGATGTTAATTGAGAAACCTTGTATCATCTTTGTTTCTTTAAGAAAGTGCTAATGTTGCAGTCTCAGCTCTAGTACATATACTTCGATATAAGTTACTCATTGAATTATGAATGTATACTTTCATCCCAATAGTTCGTCGGTTACAATATCTACTTACGGAATGGAAAAATAAATCCGTAGTGTAAACTACGATACTTTCAAATTAAACGTTGCTGTTCGCCATTCGGATTCGTACTTATTTCCTTACATAAATGTCCTGTCATTTTACTTCATTCAACTAAATAGCAAATATCCATGAGTTAAATAAGTTACTCGGAAACTCATTAGTTATAAATAAGAACGATTCTATTATGCATTTTCTCTTCACCATTTACTATTAGTGCTAACAATCCGTTAGGGATGCTAGATCTCCAGAAATCACTTAGTAAATGTCTTATTTTTTCGATTTTAGTTCTGAGATCTGAATTTCTTGTTTTCGTGCCAAAGCACTCATTTTTATCTTCATGTCATATTTCCCACCTGGCAGGACCTTAACTGTCATTGGTTCGTTTTGTCTTTTACTATGCTATTTTTCGACGTTTCTCAAGGACATTTGTATACTGTATATATACGCTTGAGTTGTGCTTGTGGAATACATTTCCCTCATCTGAACCTGGACTTCTCCCTCTAGTTAACGGGGCTGAGACGCATCGGAATTTGTAGCTTATTTGGTCATTGTATTACTGAGTCTTCGTTCCGTTCGCAGATTTAGGTGATCTCGTAATCTTTCTAAACATACAACAATCACCTTGAGTACGATGTTATTATTGACCACTGCATTAGGTAGTTCTACTCAGTACCAAATATATATACTTACTTTCATACCTAATTAATAGTGAATTAGTGTGTTCGTCTATCACTTCGATTATTACTTCTAGTTACCATGAATAAATATTTTCTTTTTATATCCTTGAAAATCACATCATAGTAATCCTTTAAGATAGTTTTTGTTTTCAGATTGCATTTTATCGACTATAAATCTGATCTTTTTTATTATTACTTCAGTCAGCAGTAAATCATCGTATCCCCAAACGTTATAAATCTCCATTAAATAATCCGTCGACAAAATCAGAATGTAATCATTCAGTTCGTTTGTTGCCTGCAACAGATAATGTGTGTATATCAATGCTTGCTGCATTAGGAGCTATGAATGCACTCTTAAATTATGTTGCTGACGTTGTTCGTTTAGCATTGGCTTCACGAGCTGCAAACTCTCCCGATGCTAAAAATACTGCCGTTGCTGCTGAAGAAGTGAGTTACTTGAATCTATAAATGCTTATTACTCTTCGACTAATAACTACATGTTGTTAGCTTAGTAGTTGGAGCAGTCAACTCCCAACTGTTAGCTCGCGGGTACTAGACGACTTTTTTCCTAGTATAAAATTCTTCAGAAGTGTACACCAACGACACTGCGCTCGGGACTTGGACCCAGGTCCTTCAGTTTCACGTGCGAACACTTTACTTCTAAACCGCTAAGCTGGTATCTAACTGTGTTAATGTCTCAGTTCAGTCAATTCAAGACATTGTGCAACGATCTTCTGTCTTCGGTGTTTAACTACCCGGCTCTCGAAACGGTTGAATCCCACTGTTCATGGTTTCTCACTTGAACTCCAAGAATCACCTCTTGAAGCTAGTCGCTTACGGGCACATGATAAATGTTAGTATGAGGTTGTGGAGATTGTTAAATTTCTTTGAAATCATGGGTCGATCCAAGTTAGACTGTCATCTAAAACCTAGTATGGTAAGGAGATTTTAACTTCAGAAAACTGTGCATCTACAATTGATTGGTTGTCTGACCCATACTTAATCATCCCCTCACTTAGGTTAGGATTATTTTACTCTAAACTGATTGATACTAGGACACAATATAGTATCGATCTGCGTAGTTACTATTAGTCTGTATGGCAAAGAATATGTCTCACTTCTGAGTCATTTGTTAGATATCATTTGTTAAAGACCCTAAGTTCTATGAATCGTAATCAACCACTTTGTAAATCTGAAACATATATTTTTATAAACTCATTTGTTTTTCTTTTTCGTAAAATTTAATTTACTTTCCTTTTCACCGTGTTTTTATGCCGCAAATTGTGTTACTTTCGTGAGGAATTCTGCGTCGTTACTTGTTCGACTAAATACTCACCTCCCATTCTTACGTGCCACCGATCGCCCTGATACGCCCGAGGGTAGGTAGAGTACTCTCTTCCTCTCAAAATGCTCTCACATGGTCACGCGTATACAGCCACTGCCAGGGAAGTCCTACTCACTGCCTTCTCGCGGTGGGGGTGTTGTCTACAAAATTGAGAGGACGAAAAGCGAATGTCTGGAGCTGTAACCAATTTGGTGGATATGGAGGATCTACCTAGGGGAATTGGAAAACCCTGGTTCCAAACCAATAGTGCACATGGGCTCCAGGATGCTAAGGAGACAAATGGCGTATGAATCTATTGTTGGTCACCGGCTACCATGGGACTGCATCTCCTTACGTTGCTCCACTGTATTGTGGATCAGACCTTCAAGTCGAAGGGTCCGGGTGTGGCCCCCTAAGAAAACCACCTACTTCGGTTTGGGAACCCGGGCAGTATCATAGCCCACGCACAAATGAAGTGACTTGTGTGGCGCATATATATTCCATGCCCCTTTGTATCAATATTTATGTTTTCAAATAAATTAAATAATAAAACTAATATACAGTAGTGACTAGCGAACGATTAGATCGAAAGGTTATTAATGGTCAAATGAAAACATGTTACCTATCTGTGAAATCACCGACTGTTTGAGCGAAGTGAAAACTTCTTGACTTCGGGTCCGCACGACAATCTAAATATATGTGATCTAAATCTAGGTGATATAGTTTGAAATTGGTTACAGAAACTAGGCTTTAACATGATTTCAAGTTTTGATCACATTCGATCACATTCGTCGATCACATTCGTACTTTTTAGATAATATTCTTCATGTCCATTATTTTATTATGACTGATACTATTGTCATTTTGATTGATTCGTCTTTCACCTTGGTAATTTCTTTACGTTAAAATGTTGTGAATTGGTGGTAACTTGGGTCAATATATATATTTTTGCAGGCTCTGCACTTCATATGACAAATTGACTGTTTTGAACTAATCCTAGCAATCGGAATTAGTATTAAGTTTTTTAATTGTAACTGTGTAAAAACAATAATTCTAAAAATGTGAAAACGACGGTGCAGTTTATGTGTTTATACACATAATATTCCTGTCACACTGTTGTATTTTCGGCGTTATATATATATATATATATATATATATATATATATATATATATTTGATGATGACAATTGTCATGAAACCGAATCAACCTATCCTCCAAAGATTAATTGTTTTCAAACATTGGAAAAAATCTATCTTACATTTATGAGTACATCATGTTACATCAATATACTTATGTGTGATTAATCTTTTTTTTCTGTTTGTTACAAGAATTCAAATAATCCACACATGTTAAGATTGCTAAAATTAATTTTATTAAATTGTTATCAACGAGAAAAATTACTTAAATATTTCAAGAAGGTGTATCAATTTATGAAAGAGATACTTATTCTCATACTCTAAGTAGTAATATTAGTAACATATTAATGTATAGAAAGATATGTTGTCATTAATACCTTGAGATTAGATGGTGGTTGGAGGTAGTCGACAGGAAACCCTGGACTCGGGTTTCGTGCTACTTGGCACTCGCCATCAAGGTGTACCTGTAATCTTGAGGGGACTGGTGCTCCCTGGCGGATTCGATCCCGTGTCACCCAGCTTCACAGTCAGAGACGTTACCACTGAGCTATCCGGGCCGCGACTGACCTTCTGTAGGACTCAGATGTAATCAAGATTGATAGATCACTGGATGGTGATCAATGTCATGCGTGTCAAGTCCTTATTTAGTGCAGATCGAGCAGGGAGCACCAGTTCCCTCAAGATTACAGGTACACCTTGCTGATCAATTGGAAAGATGGACAGTTTCCACTAAACATCCATTTTCTATCGAGTGATAGAATATGTTTATTGTCGATCATCCCAATGGATATATCTATAAAGCAAAGTACTGATTCGGATACCTGTTTTTTAGTCATACTTTAGTTGTGATACTAATCCAGCTTTCTAAAAGCGACATAGATGGGGCGGTGTTCAATCCTGAGATTTAACAGTTGATAACAGAGCTCTCTAATCACTAAGTTGATGTGGTCTATAACCAAGTGAACCGACATGTTCGCTACTTGGTTAATTTTATCTTGAGTATAAAGACGTAAATATGATTACTGAATAATACATCACTCTATTCCCTATTGAATAACTAAGTATTACTATATGAAGTTTTAAGAATTCAGAACTATTTTGTATCACAAACTCGTCGAAGTTAAATAAACCATTGTAAACCACTTAACATTGGACCAACCCGTCTTAAATAATATTGTAATCACTGTAAAACGTACTGGTTAAAATCAGTTGGAATATCTATCCCATTTCTCATTGTTTTTTTTTATGATTCAGATGTCTATGTTAGTTATTTATCGAATTTATATTTAGATAAGTTAATTTATATAATTGTACTTTACCTCCATGTCCACCTCTCTGTTTGATATTGATTCGTAAGCTCATTGTTATAAGATTTTGTGAGTGATATTTCAGTCATCATTAGGTAAACTTAAATTTCAAGTCCATGTGTTACTGCAAATAATGATGTTTAAAGCGTACTGACTCACTAATTAGAGAAACCCATAAACGTTTTTTAATAATTCATTAATCTCAGGTTGTTGGTAGGGTTTCACATACTGCAGTCAAACAGCTCATACTTTTATATAATTTATTTGATTGGTTACACCATATATTGACATCGTATTCTGATTTAATCGATCTTAATTACTTACAAATCGCTATTATGTCCTATTATAATTCATTCTGTAGTGTCTATTCAGGTAGTCACATTGAAAACCAGTACTTCATATATAAGTAGACCCCATCAGCGCAGAACGTTTATCTAATGGAGTTGATAAATTAGTGATATGTGTTCACTTTAGGTCTGACGCAAGTAATTTGTTCCATACCTGTTTGGAATACAGGTCACCATGTTGATTAAGCTCTTACTAATTCATAATCTATACATTTATGTCGAAGAAAAAATAAGTACATAACTCATTTAAATGCTTCAGCACCTATTTGAGTATATTTGCTAGATTATTAGCTGTATTTTAATCTAGTTGAAACAGTCAATAATCGATCACTTGTTTCCACTGAAAATAATACTCATCTTTCACTTAACTTAGATTTTGATTGCTGCTAGACCTCATCCGAAATTGGCTGGTTTACTTGCTCGTTTAATTGGTTTATGGAGACCACATCAATTGCCTACAATTCAACCTAATGTATGCGAATCTGATTTACATAATTGGACACATTTAATATCAGCATCTATTCAAGAGCAAAATTATGAAGATGGAATTTGTTTCCGTTTATGTGAAGCTTCTATCACTGCTCTTACTAATTATGCTTCATTATATGGTGGTGAATATTCACGTAGTGCATTGGTACCTTCATCAACTGATCCTTTATCATTAGGTTTATTAAGATTAGCTGAAGAAGATCAACTACTTCAAATCAAGTATCATGTATCTAAGGAAACATTGAAAAATTCTTACGATTCATTTAATTCTAAACGAAGTACATATTGCAGACGACGTATGCGTCTTTTACTTCGAATAATAAGACGTTTAGTATTTTCAGATCCTGTTTGTCGTTCTCGATTTGATTCTACTATGAATTCAATAAAATGCAATGCAAATTTATTCACTACACTAAAATATCTATTAGTTATAACACAACGTTCAGCGGATGCTTCAACAAGTAAACTTTTGAAGGAAATAATTGATCTTTTATCACCTAAAGTAAATCCGAATCATAATAGAAATGCTATAAGTAGTGATAGAAGTTATCATAGTCGTTCTAAAACTGTGCAACCAGAATCTTCATCGAACAGAATTATTTCGAAAGCTGTTGCTTAATTATAAGGTTAGTTTCAGTAGCATATTGTTTCTATATTTACAGATTCAGGTTATTCTATAGGCAACCTTAAACTTCAGTGTTGTAAACATTAACAATTACTATCAGAATATACTTACTTACTCACGCCTGTTACTCTCAATGGAGCATAGGTCGCTGACCAGTATTCTCCAACCCACTCTATCCTGGGCCTTCTTTTCTAGTTCTGTACAATTTTTGTTCATTCTTCTCATATCTGTCACTATTTCTCTGCGTAATGTGTTATTTGGTCTTCCTCTTCTTTGGCCTTTAGGATTACAACCGAGGACTTGCCTTGTGGAGCAGTTGGTTGCTTTCCTTAATGTGTGACCTATCCACTTCCAGCGCTTCCTCCTGATTTCTTCCTTCACTCGAATCTGGTTTGTTCTATCCCACAGTAGGTTGTGGTTAATAGTGTTTTGCCAACGGATCCGAAGTATTTCGCGCAGACAACTAATAATAAACACTTGCATCTTGTAGTTGAGTGTAAGCAACCTTGTCTGAAATCGGTCTTTACTTCGAACGAGTCTGTCAACTGTCCTCCATGCAAAATTTTGCAGTTTAATCCATCATAGGAATTCTGTATGATATTGACTATCTTTTGAGGCACGCCGTAGTGTCGAGGAAGCTTCCATAGTGTTGTCCTGTCCACACTATCGAGTGCTTTCTCGTAGTTAATGAAGTTGATGTAAAGTGATGAATTCCGTTCAATTGATTGTTCCACAATGATCCGTAGTGTTGCGATTTGGTCTGTACATGATCAATCCTTACGAATCCAGCCTGTTGGTCTCGAAGTTGGGCGTCTACGGAGTCCTTCATCGTGTTTAACAATACCCTGTTGAATACTTTTCCCGGTATTGAGGAAAGAGTGATGCCCATGTAGTTATCACACTTGCTTAGATCGCCTCTCTTCGGTATTTTGATCAGAAGTCCTTCTTTCCAGTCTGTTGGTACTTGTTCCTCATCCTAAATCTTGCTAATGAGAATGTGGAGTATGCTTGCAGTTACTGCTACATCTGCTTTCAGTGCCTGTGATGGAATGTTGTCTGGTCCTGCTGCTTTGCCACTCTTGATTTGTCTGATGGCCATGCTGATCTCGTCAATTGTTGGTGGGCCAACATCGATTGGGAGGTCGGTGGGTGCTGCTTCGATGTTGGGTGGGTTCAGTGGGGCTGGTTGGTTCAAAAGTCCCTTAAAGTGTTCTACCCACCTGTTTCGTTGTTCTTCAATGTTGGTGATTACCTTGCCTTCCTTGCTTTTCACTGGTCGTTCTGGTTTACGGTGATTTTCAGACAGTTTCTTTGTTGTGTCATACAGTTCTCTCATGTTTCCTTCTCTTGCAGCCTTTACCGCCTTCATTGCTAAATCTTCCACATATTTACGTTTGCGGGTTCTGATGCTCCTCTTCACTTACTTGTTTACTTCTGTGTATTCAGCTTGTGCCTTGGCTTTCTCTGCTCTTGTTCGTCTGGTATTGATTGCTGCTTATTTGTTCCTCCCTTCTTGAATCTTATTCAGTGTATCAACAGTGATCCATTCCTTGTGATGGTGCTTCTTGTGTCCCAGAACCTCATGACATTTTGAAGTGATTGCCTCTTTCATCCCCTTCCACTTGTTCTTCATAGTAGTTTCCTCTCCATTGAGTAGTAGATCATGAAAGGCCTGGAATTTATTGCTGAGAGCTATCTTGAATTTTTTGAGTTTGTCAGTATCCCGAAGAAAAGCCGTATTAAACTTTTGTGATATTGTCCGCCCCGTTGTCCAGTGCTTCTTGAATTTGAATTTCATGGCGACTAGCAAGTGATGATCTGATGTTATATCAGCTCTACTCTTGGTTCTCACGTCCTCCATCGTTCTGCTTAACTTTTTGTTGATACAGATATGGTCGATTTGGTTCTGTGTTTTGTGGTCCGGTGAAATCCATGTGTCAACCTTTAAAACTGAAACATGCATTCTAGAACAACTTTGTGAATGTTGGCTCCGCCTTCCGGGTCATTTCAAGTGATATTGTTGCTGTAGGTATCACTGCCAATGTTGAACTTGGTAGTTTCAAATAAATTTATCATTGGGTAGAAAGAAAAAATATATTCAGCAATAATTGTCGCTAAATTGAGTATTAAGCGAACCAACTTATCTAGCATTTTTCATGGCATGACTAAGTATTTATGTGGTTAGTGTAATTGATCTATAGTTCACATATTTATTATTAGTATCGTCTACCATTTAAGCACATAGTGTTTCTTTATGCTAATTAGTCACATGATGTTTATCTCTGTACATCGGTTTACAATCTAGGCCACTTTCAGTGCATTTATAACTGGTATTGAGTACTTAAGAGCAATAGATACAAAATCTTGAATCGTCATTGGTAGAATTCAATTAGCGATCATAAATAAATAATACGAAATCAGTTATTAGTGTGAGTAACTCAGTTCTCCAAGAAAACAGTAGACGAAACAGCCAACTAACGTTAAAATTTCTGATTGTGACATTGAATGAAGAGGATTTGATTACTATAAATCCTTTCGAAGTTACACCTTTCTGACTAGTGGTGTATGCTACTTATGCCGATAGACATAAGTAATATGTCTATTGTTTCCAGTTACATAATATAGTTGTAGTATGCGTGAGTTTAATTAACATGGGAAATGTATTTTAGATTAGAATTTTCAATCGTGTAAGATAAAATTAATTAAGCCAGTGTTCGTTTAATGCATACAAACATACATAAGCACATCCATACATGTACACTTTATTTATTCATTATCTCATTTATTTATAATTGTTATCTGCTGTTTTTGTTTACCTAATGTCGATTTTTCTAAATCCAGCTTTTCGGTTGAACTTATGTATTCACGTATTTAACTTTCACGATTTTATTCAAACTTAATGTGTACAGCAATGTTGTTTCATGATGAGAAGAAAACTCCCCCTATTCTGCTTTTCTATACTCATATGCTTAGAAAGTTTCTGTAATATTAAGTAATTTTTTTAAATATGAAAATTTCTGTTTCTGAGATGATCAAAAGGATTTGTGGCTCGATTTGACGAATTTGAAATATTTCTCATTATTTATAGAATGTAAGTGTTCTTACATGACATGGTCACAAACCTTTTAGGTAGTTTCTGAAGTTTACTCTTCTTTATTTCACATTACTGCTACTCCTGAAGGTATTTTTCTACAAAATTTTACCATTGGATCCTTACAATATTTCATTAGTACGGAAAATCAACAGAGATATACTAGTTTATATAGTTCTCATTTTATCCTGTAATCTTTGCTTCATGAGTTTACCATTGAACAGAAGACAATTACAAACGTGAACTGAAACAAAATGTTGAAGACTAATTAGTTCAGGTTTTGTTTGTTCATCTGATGAACGTAATGAATAAATAAAACGCTAGAATTTATTGCAGTTTCACTTTGTAATTTCAGAATTCACATGTTTATAGTGATTTTTCAGTAAAGCCTCATTGAATCCTCAACTGAAAATAACATCTGCTAATATAAGAACGTTTGTATTAAAGTATCTTTATTCAAAAATAGTGGTTAATAAAACTTTATCAAAGATTATATTTTCATTAAATAGCCATAAATCCTAGGTATTTATTGTTTACTTTTCTTTCTATCTAAAGCTTGTCCTTGAGAATCTAGTTTTACTAAAAAAACTGATGTTTATATCATTTTACTCTTATTCTCATAATAACGGGTAATCTTGTAATTTACTAACTTTGTTCAATTAAATAGCATTTTAAACCAACTAATCCCTTTGATAAATTTGAATAATGTAATAAGAAGACGAAAATTATCAGAATTATCTAATATGTTATCGCAATACTATACGGCAAAGTTTATTATCACTGAAAAAACAAGGTTTATCCTTTACCAAAAACTCAAACATGTAAATGACTATGTCATATCCCAGTGTTTATCAATTTGCATGTCCATGTGGCTCTACATACATAAGGAGGAATAATCGTGATGTGCAAGTTAGGGTATCGGAGCATGTATCTAAATGGTTACAGAAGCAAATCAAGTCAAATAACCCAATAGGAGTAGATGACAAACATTTATCTTCCTTCACTGCTAGACACGTAGTTGAAACAGGTCATAAGATTGCTCATAACCCAACTTTTGTGGTTCTGTAAAAAAGATATCTGGAGTATATACTAAGGTTTACTGAGGCCTTGATCATATGAAAATTCAATCCCTCTTCTTCCAACATCGGCTCGGATCTAGCGTGGTTTGTTTCATATTGTTTCCTTAATATGCATGTTTCTCCTTACCTTCCATTTGTCTAGCTGGCCATTTTTTTTATATATCAATGTTCTTCAGAAGTATATGTGCGAACTGTGTCACGCTAATGCATAACTATTCTGATCATCTTCGTTTTCTCATTATATTATCCAAACTAGATAGTACTACTTATTATACGTGAGTAGCAAAATACTTCACCCATCAAATAAAATTGAAGTTGACATTTTAGGCTTATAAACACACGTCAACCTTTAAAAAGTATTAGCACTGTGGTGTGTGTTACTAATGTTGGTAGATATAAGTAGTATGTACCACCAGTCGAAAGTGAAATGCCTGGAGGCAGATGATCAAAGAAAAGGAAATAAGAACAAAGAATGAATGGTGTGGAAACGAAAGAACAATGAAGTCTGAAACGACTGACTGATATTTGTAAAGGAACAGTTAAGTTTGAGACAATTGATTGACATTTTGCAAATTAAGTATTTACTGTTTGGTCCTCAGATTATACTAAGAGATTCTTCCATTTTTAGTCCAAATACATTCGATTGTCCTCACTTGTGTCCCCGTTCACTACTTTACTAAGTTAAGATAAACACCTGTTACTTCAATTGATAAGATTTGAGTAATTCGCCACTCAGTAACAAACTACACAAGCTTGACATCCATGATTAATATACAATATGTTTTATCTTTGGATTGTAGAAATATGCCATTTGTTATGTTTAAGATCCCATAGAAATATCATATACTTTGGTGCTATAGTTATCTTCTTAATGTTTTATTTCTTTTCAGATCTTGTCATTACATCTCAACTAAATTGATTCACGTATGTGAGTACGCTCGCATTAATCTTAACTCTTCCCTGCTGTGTATCATTGAAGCTCAGAGAAACTAACGTGTCCTTCCAGTTGTATAAGAGTTATTATTGTTTTAATGTTCGCTGATTTTTCTTCACATTTTATTTATTTTTTATTTTTGTCCTCTACTTGCCTTCATTTTTTCTCAAGGGGACTTCTTTCCGAAAAACAAACCTAGTAAAACAACTAAATTTTGTAAATATATACATAAATGTGAGTATTTCTGCGAAAAAAACCGTTTTTTGGAGCTGTAAACACTTAAAGGCATGTGAAGATACCCATCATCCCAATACATTGCTTCTATAGGAAATGTGCAACGTTCTGAAGTCAACATGATTTTTTAAATATTTGTATATGTTATGTTGTAAAAAATACACACATCTGAAACAATTTGTTTCGGTCGTTTCTAACTATTTTAGATTTTTCTTATGCTTTTTTATATCTACACTATGAAAAAGGTATACATGTATTAATCTGCAGTGCATAAATAAAACGCTAACTGTACGGGCGAATTTTCGTACTGTTGTCAATAAATGTCATTCTATTCACTTGCACACTTATTTCCTGGTATCTCTCCTATAAAAATGTGATATAGGTTTTAGAGCGACTTCCATAAATGAAGAAATATAAGTTTATCATTCAAAGTAGGATAATTTAGGAACTTCTTGATCAATTGTTATTTTTTCACATAACGAAAAAGAATATTTGCCGTAAAACTGAGAAATTTTCAGAGTCAAATTAAGCGTTTCAAACCTGATCGTAGCTGCTACCTTGATGTGGTGACCAAGCTTGCCTATCATGATGACTCAACCGAGATATATTGGCTGAGACACATGATTTTTAGATCCTACCATGCAACGTAGATCGGTTGGAGAATGGTATGACTAAATGCACCACCTTCAGGCTCGACGGCGAGGTTGTACTGCTGACTAGAAAGATGTGACAGCAGTAAGGTGTTTCCCTCGGACATCCAGCATCTGCGGTGATACTGCTGTAGCGGTAAATAAATCCCTAAAATAAATAGCTCTGTAAGTCTTCGACATTGGATGCTGACCACATTAGTTTTAATGGACTCACCTAGCTGAAGGTGCTCGGTCATGCATCCGCACCAGATCACGAGTAAGAACACTGTGCTCAACTGCCTCTGCAATCGCTAGCCAGTCTAGATCAGTCAATTCTCGAATTATTGATAGCCCATTAAATATATCTTCGAAACATCTTGCTTCTAACTTTTTATTTCACTAAGTGGGTGCGATTCACAGTTAAAGCGTTGTCAAACTCCAAATACCCGTGGCATCTTCAATGCCCTCTCACAACGTACGGGATTAAAAAAATCGACCTTAAAATATCACACCACCTTACCCCACAGATTCCCGTCTCCAGTGGTAAGGTCCTTCTAAGTGCGGAGCTAACACATTGAAGACTTCCCATAAAAGTACCGTGCGCGATCGACTGCAAAACGTTGCCCCTTGACGTCTGTGGTCACGCTTCCAGTTCTCTGAGACCACCACTAACTCAGTCTTCTCCTTAGAAGAAACATCCTTTCACGGTGTAAGCAGACGCGAATCGACAACCGCCCCCATACCTCTGTCAGCACCCGAGACCATCCTGTTGACGATTGAATTCTTTCCTTACCTCTTAGTAATTCTTCCATCCCGGCGACTAACCCTTCTCGTTTATCTTCATCACCACGCACCACCAATGCTAGTGATTCGAGTTCACTCAATATTATCCCTGGTCTCCTAAAACTACTCTCTAAACTACATGTTGGAGCTTTCAATGTTCAAACCTTGTCAAATAGGACAACGGGTTTTTTAGTTAGAACTCTAGAATCTCGTGCCACCTATTTATACTGCGTCTCCGAAACGCACGTGCAGGATACAAGTAGGGTCATTCCTTTGACCTCATCTTGTTCATATAAACAACCAGCACGATTTACCACCCGAGTATATGTAGCCCCCACTACTACTCCGCGTGGGCTCGCTGGGGTATGTATAGCTTTAAGTTCTATAGTACAACAAGCTCCATTAAACTGGATTCCAATAGACAGTCGCTTGTGCGCTGTCCTACTTAACGGGACAGTAAGAACTGAAAATGTTAGGGACACGCCGTTATCTTTGCCTGCCCTCACACTGATTACAGCTCGGATGAAGTTAAAGATGGTTCTTATAGGATGATATCCAATCTCACTCGAAAAGCTAAATGCTTTGATATAGTAATAGTGACGGGTTATATTAATGCTCAAGTAGTTAGACTAGACCAACATGAAAGACACTTATATGGGTCTTACGGCTCCCAAATGCCCTGGTATAGCCGAGAGTGGGGTGGGCCCGCCCTCCCTCTCGAAATGCTCTCACACGGCCAGGCGTATACAGCCTCTGCCAGGGAAGTCCTACTCACTGCCTTCTCGTGGTGGGGGTGTTGTTTACAAAAATGAGAGGACGGAAAGCGAATGTCCGGCGCTTTAACCGGACCCCAAATCAATGGTGCACATGGGCTCCAGTATCCTGAAGGAACAAATGGCGTATGAACCAATCGTTGGTCACCGGCTACCATGGGACTGCATCTCCTCACGATGCTCAATTGCCTTGTGAGTCAGACCTTTAGGTCCAAGGCTCGGGGTGTGGCCCCCTAAGAAAACCACCTGCTTCGGTCTGGGCACCCGGGCAGTATCCCAGCCTTCATACAAATCGAATGATTTATGTGGCGCATAGGTAGTTGGTGCCTCCTTGTACCAATGTTTATGTGTTTAAATAAAATAAATAAATAATACGGTATCGCGGTTCAACAAATAAATAATGGTGACCGTCTGCTACAAGTATGACCAGATAACCGTCTTTTTCTATCAAACACCAACTTTAAACATTAGGGGAGAAACATCGTTTGATGTGGCAACCCCCAAAATAATCTCATCGATGGACTCAAATATATTACATTGCTATTAGTCATCATTGGAGTGGCTCGATAGCAGACTGCCGCTCAATTCGGAGCACATGATCTGACATGGATCACGCTCTAGTTCGACATGTATTTTTCAAAGTCTTACTGCAACAACTAGAGAAAGAGTTAGTCAACTGGGTAAATGACATCCATCTTGAAGTGGCTTTGTACGATATTCAAGACGCTGTGGAAACGGCAGTGATGGCTACTAGTAACTCAAACCAGAAGGTTAGGAAAATCAGCTTATTTCAGCGGTGTCTACATAACTGATAGACGCGTGGAAACGCATCCAGTCTTGCTCAGAATACGAGGAGGAGCACAGACAGTTTAAAAGTAGGTTGATTAAGAGTCTACGTAATGATCCTGAGCAGTGGTGGATAGAGAACGCAGAAGAGATGGAAAAGGTACCAGCGATAGGTGACGTTAGACGGCTGTTCATACTTATCAAGGAAATGGGTAATAAAATCGGGCTGTTCGTGAAGCTATCCCAGCAGGTAGATTAACTGAAATCTTAGCTAAAATCTAGGAACTGAACGTAATCCCACCTAACTGGTCTCGATCGCTGATCGTCCCAGTCCGTGAGAAAGGACGAAAGTCCTCTTGCGACAATCACACAGGAATCACTTTAAATAATATAGTGTCTAAAAGATTAGCCTCAATAATACTTCGACGTCTGACTAGATCTCATGAAGAACAAACCCAAGAAAACCAGGCTAGTTTCAGATCTGGACGTGGATGTATAGACCGAATATCTATACTTCGGCAGATTCTGGAACATAGATAAACTTATCGACGTCCAACTGTAGTTGTATTCGTTAAACTTAGGGCAGCGTTCGACTCTATCGATCGTGAGGTTCTATGGCAGTGTCTGTCATTCAAAAGTGTACCAAAGAATTACATTAACCTTATACAGGCTCTCTACTCGAAAACTTCTGGTCGAATAAGAGCGTCTGACGAACTGTTGTTGGAAGTGGTTACTCCAAGGGATGTTTGTCAGGGTTGTCCGCTTTCTCCATTTATATTTAACCTTGTCACAGACATTCTTTTGAAGATAACACTTTCATCGTCCGACTTTACGGGAGTCGATCTTCTACCAGGAGATTCACTTGATGACTTCAAATACGTAGATATGGCTCACTTAGGTGAAGACGCTGATGAATTTCAGTCTTCTGACCACCTTAAGTAACAATATGGTCATGCTTCGGATATGGTTTTCTCCCTTCAAATGCAAAAATTACTTTAGGATTGCCTTGCGTAATCGCCTGAACTAGTGATAGGAAGTGAAACAACTGAATGCACTGTAGGAAACAATTTCCCACAGATTCAACTCTAAGCTAATCTCTAGACTGTCGAGTACAGAGTCTTGGTTTAGCCAAAGTCAGAACAAGCAAGCTATTTGGCTATATAAACTTTATCTGTTTCTAAAACATAAATTAACATCGTTAGCGTACAAACAAACAGTACGGTCTATTAATACAGAGAAAAACAGACAAATAACATACCGAACAGTAGCTAGAGAATAAGAAAAATGAGTCAACAAGCCAAAATTGTTTTACAATCAACATTAAACTGTGATTGGTTAATAAAGAGATACAGTCGTACAAGGTCAAAAGGAGTTGATGTGGTGGTGGGCGTTTCCCTTATTATTGGTGGGTTCATCCATCAATCACATTTTACATGCACCGACCGCCTCACTTATCATGGGAGTCTCATTAGTACTGATAGTGTGGTGCCTGAATTCTCGATTGCATTTTGCCAACTTGTGGCGTGGACGATGTATCCGTTTGCCAATCAAATAACGAGCTTACTGCTTAACAGTCCACTTGATTTTACTTTATGGATGTGGGACATCGCCATTTAGAGGATATTCATAGCTTACTGGCATTCGATCATAGGTGTCTTTGAAACATTGCTTGTGTGTTTTGGGACCACCTAGTAAGAATATCTGAGTTAGGAATAGAATACTAGACAAAGATGGTAAACCAGTTGATGAAATACTACATCTTCATCGATTGAGGTAGTTGGGATATATGTTACGTATGCCCAACCACCTCCTTCTTTGACGGGCTAGTTTTTCTGATGCATGAGCAGGCCGGAAGAAAGGTAAGGGCGACCAGACAGATATATTGCATGTCCATGAAGTCACTGACAATTGGCATCTTGAACCGATGTACATACGTACTGACTCTATGTTGTGACTGGCTAAAGCGTTGCACACAATAGTTCACTACAGTGCGTGAGTCAGCGTACAAACCTTATTTTACAAAATCCAAGGTACACTAATCTCGTTTTTCTCAAAATACACCGGCCTCTGTTTATGATGACATGCATGATCCATCTGTTTTGAATTTTCAGAGCACCTCTGAATTACTTCAGAACTCAGACCCATCAGGTACATTACCATTTCATGTTTTGTTAGAATTTTATGGGCAGAGTATTTCGCTATATTTAGTTTATGGATTTTCTCAGTTTTCCTAAATTCGTATATATTTACTGAATACATGTAATGAAATATATATACATGACCGTATTTCTTAACAAGGTACACATAATTCTGTACTGAATTTAAAAACTTCATGTAATTAGTTCCCTTTATGAATTTAAAGCCAGAAC